GAGATAAAATTTAAGTATTAATTGAGATGAAATTAAAATTAAAATTATCTAGTTTTTTTTTAAAATAGAGAAATGAATTATTATTTCAATTAATAGATATCCTTTATATACATATTATTTTTAAAATATGTTAATTAATAGAAAGATTAATTTGTGAGAATGTGTCTGAATAAAAGAAAGTTTAGTCAACTGATCACCATATTAGATAAAAAAAATTAATAATTTTTATTAATAATAAAAATTTCTAATTAGATATTTTTATCCCCTTAATTAATACTAGGAAATATTATCGGCATTCTCCTTGGAAAATTTTAATGAAATTATTTAACATGTTTGGAAAAATGGCTGGAGTCTTCAAATTCAAGCTTGAGGGAAGTAAATGTGATTATGAACAAAAAGAATTAATGTTTAGTTGTTTCCCAGCAAAATTGTTCTTATTCCTAAAAACACATTTGACTTATTGACTATAAACAAAAAACTTTAGGTTTATGATGAATTTAGAAATTTTCACTAGCTTTTAACAAACTAAATAAAAATACATTCCAAATATAAACATTTCACTTCAAACTAAATAAAAATTCCAAATATGAACATTTCACTTCAAAATTAATCCTAATTTTTTTATAAAATCAAAATTATCTAAAGTTTTTTCGCTATTAAAATTATCTGAAGTTAAATTTATAAATACTCTCCCAACACATTAAAAGATATTACCTAATTACTTAAATGAAATCATAATACCGGAAAGAAGTCCATGTCCATGATGAGATTAAGAGATTAACAAAACTAAAGAATAATTCTCACATAAATATAATATTTATAAGTATGATTATTTAAAATTTCATTAAAGCCATCAAAATAAAAATTTGGATTAAAAATTTCAACATCATTTTTATATTTTAAATAGATTAAATTTAAATAATACACCCATAAAAAAATTATTTATTTATATCTCTTCAAGCATGCGAGCAAAAGTTTAATTTCTAAGCTTCTCATGTGCATATAAAAGAATTTGCTGAAAGAGATAAAACTCAGATCAATAATCTCCAGATCTATGAAAGATTTGTCTTCTGTTAGCAATTAAGAAATATTCTTAATACACATAAAAGAATAAATATTTATAGGTCAGCCCTTATTTTTCGGTGGTATGAATAGAAGTAGAACGAGAGTAGTCGGTCCTTGGTCTAGTTTTAAGAAAAAAAGACCTCAACTTGGTAACAGGAATCTACTTTTTCTACCAACACAAAAAGTCATTAAACTAAAATGCAGTTGTGGCAATGCCTTGCTGCGTTTCAACCCTGCAGCTGCTAATTTTTGCATGGCCCCACTACTTCACAAAGCACACCCTACTAATTCCCATTTAATTTATACAAGTTTAATTTTGATAAATTTTAACATAAATAATAAAAAATAATATATAATTATGATTCAATAGTTAAATTAATAAAAGTTACATTTTATATAAAATTATTAGTATAAATGTGTATAACTTACATTAATATAATATAATTTTTTCTTTTTATTAAAATATGTATTTTTATCATAAAATTACGATAATTCAAAAATAAAAAATGCTAGAGGCCCTAAAATATATTGGTGGACTTTATTTTTTTGCCATATTTTAATCATTTAAGCGCTAAACAACTTGTATTGAATTAATTTTTCTACTATATGTTTTCATTTTTTTTTTTCATTCAACTATTTTACTTCACCGAAATCTCCATTCAAATTTTCATTGGCAACAGAATGAAAGTCTACATTGTAAAATGTAAAGCTCTAACTTGTGGCCAAATCAACAGGGATGATAAGGATAACCAAATGATGTTAGCTTCTCTGCCCATTCAATACGTCAAGTTATACAAATTTCTCCCCATTATAGCTCACCGTTATCTGAGACTTTTGACTGAAGGTTTTTCATTTTGTGGGGCAGAGGACCAAACTATCATTAGTTCAAACCTTGTTTTTTTTTTTTAAAAAAAAAAAACAAAATTAGCTTAATTTCAGTTTGGATAAATTTTTAGAAATTTTTTATACAAAAAATTAATATAAAAAAGGATAAAAATGTTTTATAAGTTAAAAATAATATATCTCCTCAAATTTTAGAAAATGTTAAATGAAAGATTTTTTTTTTAAAAAAATTGAGAAACATAAATTATTTCTAATTTATGAAAAAATATATTTATTTTGTATACTAATTTTTCTCCTATAAAAATTTCTCTAAAAATTTACTTGAATTGTGCTTATATAGTTACTTCATCTATCTATCATTTTTGTGTGAAATATAATTTTTTTTATTATAACAATTATATTAATAAATTAAATTATTTGCTACAATACGACAATACTAGATGGAACCAATAATATGAATTAAACAAAATTATATTATTTCATTATAAGTTTTGTATATGAATAATCTATTGATCTCGTTTTGTTTTTTCAACCTTTGTTTAGTATTGAGATATCTTCCCTTTAATACGTTGTCCTTATTAGAGTTTCTACATGTGTTCTCCACTCGTTTCCAAACTAACAAAGTTGATATTCTATATTATTTTACAATGTTTTACTCAAACTTTTTCTTTATTTAATATACTAATTCTTAATCTTTATTTGTTTCGTATGTTTTCTCACCCTCAATATAAAGTTCTTGTTTCTATTACTTTAGGTTTATTCTTTTATTGACTTTTACCTTCCTAACATTTGCATACCATATAATAGGTATTATACTATTATAGTTTTACAATAATATTTTCTTTTAAATTTAATATCTATTTATCATAGATAACATTCAAATTTTTTATTTTTTTTTAAAGCTTGACTAACGTAACTAGGACTCACCAGCTCATACATCATTATACATATTAGCATTATGTTATTCATTTACTGTCTTATTCAAGTATTAGTTTGTTTTTATTGATACATTCACCTTTCACCTTCTTAGTCAAATACCAACTCAAGCTTTGAATCCTCGAATGGATCAAATGAGTCTTAATTAGCTATCATTAGAGACTTAGCCTCGTCATCTTTTCTCATTTAACTATTCTCTGTCTCTCTCTTATATATACAAGGAAAGGAAATTTGTTTCATAAAAACAGTTCTCATTTTAAGAAATATGATAATCATAAATTTAGATTATACAACTGTATATAAATTATAAAAATTAAAGTTAATTAATAATTTGTTAAAAATACTGTCTACATTTTTTATAATGACTATTTGAATAAAATTTAATTATTAATATTTATTATTGTTTTATATATGTGCGTGTGTGTTGATTATTATGTGTCTTGAACTTGGAATAGGTAATGGAAACAGGGGTAGGGCTCGCCCACATGTCAGCCTATACTGCCTCGGTTCTCACGGCACTTTTATTATCTTGTTAGTCATTTGTTCACCAACCAAAAATAGAAGAACCTAAAATGTTTCCACATAAATTCAATGCTCAGTATTGCGCTGTTTCTTTTGCTTCTAGAAACTTTGTTAACCTTTCAATTTAAGACTAAACGCAACGAGATGGATTAGACCTTCTAAATTTCAACATCATGTGGCTTTTCATTTCCTTGCTTGGGTGAAGTTTGGTTGGTGCTTTACTGACCAAGTAAAATTAATTTTATCTTTGCATCTCACTTCAGTGCATATTTAGATGCACATAAAAACCTCTTAAACTCAAATTTAATTATGTAATAGTAATTTAAAATTGATGTTAATATATTTGATAATTTTATAATATAATTAATTTTATTTATTAATTTATGTTTGAGTTAATATGATAAGTTGTATAACTTTTGTATTGAGTTAAAAAAAATTTGTTGAATTTTATTTTTAATACACTGCTTATTTAATAATTTTATAATATAAGAATTTATGTATACATTTGATAACAAAATTTATATACATATATATATAGATAGATATATATCTTTATCTTACAAAATTATGAGTCGTTTTTATTAAATCAAAAAGAATTTTCATAAAATTTGTTTTAAAGGCTATCATTGTCTCTGTTCCCTTTCTAAAGTCAATTATGAATTTCTTAAATTTTCCTATTTCTACGCATCATCTTTCTTACCACTTTCACTTTTCTGATTCTTCTGTATCATAGCCTATTAAAAAGATTATCCTTTAGAAGGTAATATATATTTTTCTCTATTTAATTTTCAAAATTCTGGTTTGAAGAGAAGACTAAACGTTTGTTTTTGAAAGGTCTACCAGTTAAGGCAGTGGTGCCTACATTGTGCCTTTCTCAAGTGTTTCAGACTGTCATTGCGCCCTAAAGTGATAAGGCCGGTCAACTTAAAAGTTGGAGCATATTAACGTTACATTAATAAGACAATCTTCACAGGCAAAATTCAAAGCATTGACAAAAGCTGCATCGCAATTAAATAATGTGCAATATTGATGACTCATAAAAGGAAATGTAATAACTTACATATTCATATATATCTTTTTCTAAGCTAGATCTCTACAGAAAAACAGTGCTAATGGGTGTATACAACAAGGTTTAAGAGATGAGAAATAATGCAAATAAATAAATAAATTGTGCAAATAATTACATTTATAATAATTATATAGAAGAAGAAAAAGGAAAACTAAAGAAAGTGTAATTAACAACTGCTCCATGTCAGATGCATGCATGCATATGGCTGGGCTATAAGGCAGTAAGGGTCACAAGGGAGTGGACTTGTCAAAAAGTTGCAAGGAAAATAAATAAATAAAAAGTTAGCCCATAGTATATAGAACTTAAATTGATTCCAGTCTAAGAAAGACAAGAAGAACAAACCTTATTCTCCTATTCTGGCAATACTAAATTTCAGGAATTTTCTATACAAATACACACCTTTCTTTTCTGCCACACTATATAAATATAGTAGAATGGATGGTCTTGGAATCATGTTTATCCCCTCTTAGTTTTATATCAATATCTCTCATTCTCTCTCTCTCTCTCTCTCTCTCTCTCTCTCATATAATTCTGACTTAGGTTGTAATTAAATAGAGGAGGTTCCTTCAATCAATCAAAAAGCTCAAAGTAGCAACACCAAAACCCAAAAGGCAACATGGGCAGGGCTCCTTGCTGCGACAAAGCAAACGTGAAGAAAGGTCCATGGTCACCAGAAGAAGACGCAAAGCTCAAGTCCTACATAGAAAAACATGGCACCGGCGGTAACTGGATTGCTTTGCCACAAAAAATCGGTATAGACGTGCATTTTACAGCACACACCATTTTCTTCCTAATCCTACTTATCTCTCTTTCTTTTCTCTCTCTTTATTCATTCACATATATATCATCATTTCATTCACACTGTGTGTGTGTGTGTGTGTGTTAGGAGCTAAGGACTCATTCAATAAGGAAATTTTCCGCAGCTAGAGTTCTTGTGATTATTCTCCAATCAAAATTAACGTTTGATTTCAGTAATTGCAGATGATTTTAGTTATCAGATACCAACATAAAATATAGTTTTTGATCGGAGAATAATACTAATAGTACAAGTATTTTTATTTTTCTTTCATTCTTTGGGGTTTCTCAAAGTTCTATTAATTTTCTGAATCAGGCCTGAAGCGATGTGGAAAGAGTTGTCGTCTTAGGTGGCTAAACTATCTTCGCCCTAATCTGAAGCACGGTGGTTTCTCTGAAGAAGAAGACAACATTATTTGCAGCCTCTACGTCAGTATTGGAAGCAGGTACATACATGCACATGGAAAATGTTTCTTGAACAATTTTGAGGGACAACTAAAGTTGTCTCCGTTAGTATTTAAGTATATTTTTGGAATAAGTAGATATATATATATATAAAAGATAAAAAATTTATATATAATATTAGACACCATATTAATTTTAGTTATTCATACATATATATGGGTGTGTTCATCAGTTTGAGCGGTTCTCAATTTAATTATTAGCTAGTTAAGACTGTGTGTTGTCACAGCTATAGATAATACATGTTGTGAAACCCTTTGGTTGGCGTGATCGTAGGTGGTCGGTGATTGCAGCTCAATTGCCAGGGAGAACCGATAATGACATAAAGAACTACTGGAACACGAGGCTGAAAAAGAAGCTTCTGGGTAAGCACCGTAGAGAACCACGTAATAGAGGCAACAATTACAACAGTATTAAGCAACAAAGCATTGTTAATAGAGGGAGTGATGGTGATTCTTCCTTATCCTTGGTTCAGGAAAATAATACTACTTCTACTACTACAACTCAACAACCATATTGGCCACAGAATATGCCCGTGCTACCACTACCAGTACCATTGCCAAACACAAACCAAGGTCCATGTTTCAATGACCAAGATTCTATTAAAAAATTGCTTATCAAACTCGGAGGGAGATTTTATGGTGATTATTACCATCCTACCGTTGATGGGATGAATCTTCAATTCTCAAATGGTGAACAAATTGGTGATCAAATTTATCAAGAACAAGTCCATTTGGGCGCTTCGTCTTCTTCTGCTTGCATTACTAGAGCCACGGTTAACAACAATGAGTTTCAATTTGCACAGAGTGATCAATACTTGGGGCAAGGACAAGGTAGTTTCACCTCAGGAATTGAGGAAATTAATGGATTTGAGTTCTTGTATGGAGAGGGCATGATCGACCATAAGATAATAGGCTCTACTACTACTGTTACTACTTGTAGCCAAAATAATACCAACTGGGGTGAAACTAGCACTCCCATTTATCATCATCCCCTTGCTTCCGATTACCAAAGTCGTCAAGGTTTGAGGCAAGAGAGTGCTTTGCAAGAGTTCAGCTACCCCGGGGCTCAATAACATCATGTACATTATTGTTATATTATTAATATTTTCACTACTACTGCTATTATTATTAACTGCGGGTACTAGCCATTCGTCAAAAAGGGGAGGCTTGTAATTGATTATCATAGGCAATAAAATTAGTTAGATACATGTATAACTATAGCTATATGTAGCTATATTTCTTCTCTCTTAGTCTTTCCCATAATAGTGTTGAATGTTGACCTCCGGTAGTGGGAGTGTAGTTTCTCTGACTATTGTTTTGTGTATTAATTTGGCTATGATCATTTAAATATCTTTCGTGTTCAACCTCATAAGTGTTATCCTTCACAGATTTATGATTTATGATCATATATGTATAGAAGACCAGTCAAATTGTATGCAATCGCAGGAAGGGGCACACTGGGTACGGTGCCAGATAGTCTGCGTTCAGCACTGAATGTGGTTGGTGTGTTATTCCTGTTTAAGGAAAAAAGATAGAGGCACATGCCATGATATTAATTTCTCTTCAGCTTTTTCTTGCCAATCGTCACCTGTGAAGTCACTCCTACATGCCTAAGTAGACATACTATATCATAGTAGTATAACATAAAATATCTTTATTATTTATGGTGAGCGAGTAGTCTTGTGGAACTACTGAGCATTTATTGCATAAAATGACATGTTAAAATTGGGTGCATTTTGTTTCCACAAGAAAGCTGTTCTAGGGGCTTTTTATATAGTTTGATATTTATACAGAATTGATTAGTTAATTCAATGACTCTTCTAACATTTTGAAATATGATTTCAGAATTCATGACTGTGTATATGGCTGTTCCATCTTCTTTAATATGTTGCTAAATTAAATAAGATCTAATTAACCAAAGAAAAAAAAGGATAGATCTTGGACTGTAATTAACTTAAAGTTCAGTGTTACTAGTATCTATTGTATAGATTAATTGGCTTGAATTGTTATATCTTAATTTTAGGTTCAAATTTATGTGAATGCATTAAAAGTTTAAACGAAAAACATTAAGCTCATATATAATCTTATATCCAATTCAACTAAAACTAATTAAAAATTTAATGTTAATCAATATTCTTGAATTGGAGGTGCTAAATTTTAAAAAAAGTTCAGTGTTACTAATCATATATATATATATATATATATATATATATATATATATATTAACTTTGGATACACAGTGCTTGCCATATGATAAAATAAATCATGATTGGCAAGTACTGTGTATCCAAAGCTAAGTGAGCCTATCATCACTCGTCAGTATCACAGTAATACTTCAACAGTGCAATCTACCATGCATACATCACATATATTATGAAACTGAATCATTGATTATTGGAGGGACTTTAAATTTGAGGTAAGATTTGCCCTTGTTTCATTGATTATTATGAAACTGCTGCTTTTCCTTTCACTTTCTTATCCCCCTCCCCGAGCTACACTTTAGGTTGGGATGGGGGGTTATAGCCTTTTGGCCCTATGTATTAATTAGTTGAATTTAATTTAGAAACGGGTTTTGTGAAAACAACACAAAAAGCAGCGTTGTTCAGAATTCTCATATAGTGTCTAAGCAAGCATTTAATAATGCCATCCTGTGTCACCCAAATGATCAGTCGAAGTACACAATTGCTTTATCTTTTTTTACGAGAGACTTCAAACATTTCTTCTGCTTACCTTTATTTGACATTTAAAATTTCATACAAATATTAATAAAATAGTGGGTATTTAAAAAAAATTAATTTATAAAAAATAAAACATAAAAAGACATAAAAGTTTATTAAAAATTATAACATTTAATAGTATTGATATATTAATTTTTGTAATTTTAACCGATCTTATTAGAGGACTAGTTAAGGAATTAAAAATAGTAAATTTTAATTGAAATTTATGTTGCACTGCATTGCAAATCACAGAGACAGGTGCGTTTATTATATTTTCTAATTTTATTATGCTTAACGTTTTATCATGTGTAATATATGATAATTATTTTTATCAAAAATATAAGAATAAATACAATTCAATGTAATAAGCTGTCAATGCATTATATGGTCAATATATTAATATTATAATTTAAAAAATTGCTATATATAACTTTTTTATCTTATATCATGTTATGTAAGATAGAAAAAGTGATATTTTATATATTAATTAGGATCTTGCAAACCAATATTTCTATAATATTAGTTACAAAATAAAACATTATAATAAATACATTGAAATATGTTTAAAATAAAAAAATAAAGTGTATTAGTAATGCTTTTAAATAAAGGAAATCATTTTTTACTCTTATCTTTAAAGTACTAATTAACATTTATCTTTCAATTATCATGATTAAAACTTTTATGTATCTCGTAGGCATATTTTATTTTGATAAAACTAAAAGAGGAGAGAGAAACTGAAGTAAGATTAATTTAATATAGGTGTAAAAATTTGAAAAAAAAATTAAATTATTATATATATATATATATGAGGTAAAATATTTTCATATTAATATAAGTTTAAAAACTCATACATTTATTTAAATTTTTTATTTAATTTATATTTAATATTAAATATAAATTAAATAAAAAATTTAAATTAATTTTTATTAAATATAAATTAAATAAAAAATTTAAATTAAGTATAAAAATTTTAAAATTTATACTTAACGCTAATTAATCTCATACTTGTACCAGACTCAGAATAATAATAATAAAGTTTTGCACTCCCCGCCTTATGTTACTTCAATGACTTCGTAGTCAGTGTCTTGTTTAGTGGTCATTTTCTCCAAATCTCGCAGTGAATTGCTACGTGAAAATCCTTCGATTCGGTAATGATTGTCCTTTGTACCATTTTGAATATCAATATTAGGGGGAAAATTAAGTGGCAAAGAAATGCTATTAGAACCCCCCTCATGGGCATGATCCTCGATATGCATGTATGTATCATGCAATAGTTGGTTTCCATCAATATCACAAATTAACGAAAGACAGCTTTGCATTTCTTAAAGTATTGTTGTTTAATTACCACACCTTTGACCTCTAACCTTATGTTCAAAACTAACAGCCATAACAATTATGAAAAATGTTCATCACTTAGATATTATATTCCAATATCATTTTGATTTTCTACTTGATGTGGTTATAAAGTTCTGGTCAAATATAGTTGGCATGCATCCTAACGACACGTTTGATTAAATCTCAGTTCCATCCAATATATGTGAAGCTATTTTATGTGCCTAAATTATTTAGAAATTAATGGACCAAAGTCCTCTTACGGTCTTCAACACTGGAATATTTATATAAATCGTGGGAATGGAATCCAAAGTTTATTATTACTTTTATGTCAGCTGATACTTTATTATTATATATTTCACGATATTATTTGTGTGATGGTCTATGGAGCCTTCATAAATAATAATTTTCTCTTCAAAGCAAAGAAAAAAAAGTGGACTTGAACTTTGCTTAAATCATCACATCTACGCTCGAATAGCGATTTACTTAAGAAATATTTTTTTTTACTAACTTCATTTTATTTTTATAGATAGTAATTTTTAATAATTCACTCATTGATTTAACAATTCTCAATAAATTAAATAAATATATAAAATTTTACACACATACATACTTATATATCATATTTTTTAAAATATAAGTAAACATTGTTTATAAAAATATATATTTATGAATATTTAATTTATTTACAATTTTACATATATAATCATAAAAATAAAACTACATAATTAAACAATTAAATTTATAAAAAAATAATATTAAATAAAATAAATAACTATTAGTTGCTGATGCCTTTCACTTGATCTAGCTTTTAACTTGAAAATTAAGTGTGAAAAACAAAGAAAATTAACATCAAACAGAGAGATTATTTAAGTTTTCATTATCACATCCAAGTATCCAAACCTACAAATATGTAGTTTATAGACCCTCCCATTTTTGACTTGCTTGTCAAATGATCAAATTGGTCATTATTTTATTATGAGATAATATATGGATTAGCTGACAGTTGTAATATTTTAGATGATTTTTAGTTGACTATGTGGATATTCTGGTAAGCTATGGTCATCATTTGTTAGGGTTGGTTGACACTTGACATAATTTGACACTGGATATCTACTGATTTTGTAATAGTTTCAAACTTTGGCCACTTTAGCTTATTCAACTCTTTCGTTACTAATTACTATATAATTGCACCAAATATGTATATTATATATAAAACATTCGAGGGTCTATAACAGACTTCAGCGTCTGAATTCATGGTATACATAATTAAGATATATAAAATTGGGTTGGCCTTTATAATTAGCTGCCCACATATCTCTTATGATTCACTTGGCAAATATCAATGCACCCTATATCCTGAAAAATAAGTGTATGTATCAGAATGGCCATTTGCAGTGATTATTGAAAGAAGGCACGACTTTTTTTTTTTAACTCAACCATGGGTCACGAATAATCATATATGATTTCAGCGTTCACCTCCTTTAGAATTAAATGATGAAACATATTAATAATCTTTAATCCGAAATAATCAAGAATCAATCTAAATAATTCTAAATCATTAAATTAATTAATAAAAACTGAACAAATCGTTAATCAAAAAATTAAAAATTAAAAACACACTTTTTCTTATTTAGTTTGATTTAATTGTTAGTTTTCATATTTAAAATCAAACTAAAATGCGAATAGACTAAATTTATACTAACTTTTCTACAATATAAATACTAATTTATACTTTTTTTTAAAATATACTTAAATTTTTATATATAAAATACTTGAGATTATTTTTCCATATACCGTATAAGTTTGACTAAATTGTGATTTTTTTAATGAAATTTAACGTTTTCAACCAGTTTTTTTTCATATTTATTATGTGCTCTTTCATACTCTTAGATTAATTAATAAATTTTTTTTTATTTTCTAATAAAAAATAAATTTTTCTTAAAAAAATAAATCAAAAACCAATTCAATCCACAAAAAACGGTTTGATTTAGGCAGATTTAAATATTATTTTTAAATTGATCTAAATTAAAGCATAGTTTTTATTATTGTTATTATCAGTTTGAATACTCTTTTTTAATCTTAAAAAAAATTCAAACCCAATCATGAACATTCTATAATTAATTCAAAAATCAATAATTAAATTGTAACTAACTTTAGAGTTTGTAATATAATTTCAGTTATCAGTTTTTAATTACTAATTGTAAATAAATGTTGTTATAAAAAGTGCATCCTTCTACTTTAAAAGAGACAAATCCCACGATTAATTGAAAAAAGAAAAGTTCAAAGGAAAAGAAAGGGTGTTCTTTTAATTATTTTTTTACGTAAAAAATTTGCTTTCTTCTTCTTAACATGCGTGCACATGCAAATTCATTGCACCCATCCGTAATTTAATGTGAACTGTTAATTAATTAGTTTAAATGGATAATTAAACATGTCTCGTATTGTAGCTGCACAAATTAAAGCTCACCAGAGCTATAAACTATAAGATTAATATACATACAATAATAATCATGAGTTAAAAAAAAGTTAGTTAAAGTTTAAGTATGAATAGTTTTGCTCTGTAAAGTAAAAGGGAATATCCCTAAGGCAGAACAAAATAGAGAGAACAATCCTACAACATAAAACCAAATACTTGAAAACTTGACTTGTGAGTTAGCGCATGCAGCATATAAATATAATGATAATTAAGTCCCAAAATAACAAATTAGTTTGGTCAGTGATTGAAGCACTGGCAACAGCCAAACACAGGTTCTCTTGTCGTCTTTGTCTTTTATTGGTTTGTTTAATTTTGTGGAGGGATGTGTTACATCTTACTTTTTAAATGTGAAACTATTTATATTAATAGTTATATATTTTTTTTAAATTCTAAAATTTCTTGATAGTGATTGATTATCTCAACGTATTGTTTAAAACTTTTTGTAAATAAAAATTAACTTGTACGGTAATATTCCTTTGTTGGTTGTTTCTTACTGAGTATCCAAAAAAATTGTACGGTAATATCATTAGAAATATGCTCTCTTCATCTTCTCTGTACTAATAATTAATTTTTTTTTCATATCTGTAGGTACATCTTCATTATCTGTTAATTTGCTATTTTCATCTTCTTTGTACTAATAAATTGATTTTTTTTCACATTTGTAAATGCTTCTTCATTCTTATTTTTTTTTTCTTCTCTTTGTTAATGATGAATCATCCATTCTCCATTTTTTTTATTAATGTTAAAAATTATTTTACTAATTTGTTCAATTTTTTCTTTATTTACTTGTGTTTGGTTCATATAAATGTGAACTGTTTGGTTATCACCGAATATATAAACTTAAGATTCAATTTTGATTTATAATAAAAATAAAAAAAACTCACAAAGAAATTAATTTCAAATTTCAAATTCGTAGTCTAAATCTATATTTTGAATTTGGAGAGCGGTTCGAGACATAACCGCTCAAATAACACTGCTTTCCAATCTTAATATTTGAGAGCAGTTAAACACAATCGCTATCTTAAATATAACAAATCAGATGTCGCAAGATTTTAAAACAGTTCTAAACGCTCTCAAATTTAAAATAGAATCGCTATCATTTCTCTATTCTAGCGTAGTGTTATATGTATTATTAAAGTGAACTCTAATTTTGATTAAAAAAATTATTATGTCTAAATTTTATTTTATTATAAATGTTTATGTTAACAGTTGTTCAGACAAATCATATAAATAAATAAAAAATAAGTGGATAAATCTTACACGCAATAATATATTTATCATTTAAAAAATATGTAATGCCACGTAAAAAATTATTGTAGACTCAAATTGATATTAACTTTTTCATCCAAACAAAATCCATATTGGTAGAGTATAATTATTGACGGCCAACATAAAACTAAAGCCTTAATTAGTTTATTGAAATTTGGAGTGACTTTCTATGTTTGGCGTCTGATTATGACACTAATTAGCTCGTAAATTCTTCAAACTTAAAAGAGTCCCCATTAAGACCTCACAAATTCATTGGCCGATTGCATTTCTTAAATTATTTCAGGATGTATTAAATTATTTTTTAATGTTATAATTTTTAATAAAAAATTATTAATTTTTTATTTCTTAACTTATATCATTAGATAAATTTAAAAAAAAAATCATATTTTTATATTATTAAGATTAACACTTAAAAGTGTCTCTTTTATATTTGTGTATGTTTTTTATACATGTATAATAATAATGATACGAATTGTTAATTATTGAAACGCGCAATCTGATTCTAATATTCAACGTTGTTCTGTTTGGACGTTGGGGCAGTGTTATTTGTGCGTGATAAGAGACAATTCTAAAGATAAAAATATGCAATACTTTACAATTGTAAGCCATTCCTTCTCCACCTTCACAATGACTAAAACTGTAAAATAAGAAGATCTGATGGACCATTTTTAATATCCTCGAATGCCTTTCAACTTTAAACATTGACGGTATATGTAAGAATGAGAAAAAGTAAGATTCATAATTTTTTTAATTTTTAATAAAGTTTAGTTAATATTTAAAAATGTATTGAAAAAGTGTTGTTAGCATTTTTATATTATTTAATTTTTTGGCAAATTAAACTCTTGCATAAACAATTTTTAACGATATTTTGTAAATTTAAACGTATTTAATTATGTTTAAAAAAATTAGTTTTAATCTTTATAAAATTAACTTTAAAATATTAATAATTAACTTTTTTAAAAATTAAATACTAAAATTATAATTTTTTATTTTTTATTTAATAAAAAAATTTATAAACTTATTTACTTAGTGAATAAGCTACAAGTCCATACATAATTTTCAAGTTACTCGAACATACAGTATCCGTAATCACTTGAATAACAACCATCTAAGACGTTTCAATATTGCGTCAAAATATTACTGTTATTGGATCGTGATAGGACATGTTTATGGACCGAGCAAAAGGTTTATGATTTTGATGATAACCTTTATGGTGGGCCTGTAGCAATTAAATTGGGCTAGGCCCATACCTTGCCGGGACGCAAAACCCTAGAGAAACACGAGAGGTTGATGGATTACACTGAATTGGATTGAAGCAGCGTAGGATGGCGATTTTGCCTTCTCTTGCAGTTCCTTCAACTCCCAAGTTTCGGGTATGTTTCTATTCTATGTCTCAAATTTCAGTATTAATTCAAACTAAGCTCTTTGTTTTTTATGGTCCTTTTTTAATTCCAGCAAAGTTATTCACAAACAAAATCGTAAGTCACGCTTAACTCCTTGCATTATTATGCTTTTCTGTCTGCTGTTAATATTGCTGTTATTAGTCAAGAAATGGAAATAGGTAGTGTATTTTAGTTCGTATTAGCCATTATTCTAGCAAGAGAAAAAAATCACAGCCAAGACTTGAAGATAGTCGTTCATTCAAAAAGATAAGATAGTTTAAGGGGTTATTTGGTTTTAGAAAATCTTTTCTGTTTTCAGTTTTAATTACAAAATTTTCACTTTATTTTCATTATGATTCCTGTTTCGAAAGATTCGAGAAATACTGAATATAACTTTTTATTTTGTTTTTCCTTTTTTTTTTAATACGAATCTTTGCAAACAGATTGAAAAACAAGGTGACAGTTTTATAATTAGAAATGAAAACAGAAAACGATTTCTAGACCAAAGAGTCCTTAAGTTTTGCTCAGGAAAAAAACTTCAGAGAAAATACCTCTGACATTGAGAAACTGTTGAGATTTAGATTAGGCTGAACAATGATTCCTGTTCTGATATCACAAGTGGACATAATTGAAACATGTAGGATAGAATGTATATTACATTACATTACATTACATCTTTTAATGGTTTCATCATATTGGTCATGCACGGCTATCCATTTTGTATGTGCAAGGGATTCCACATAACTCACAAGTCGCAATCCCAACAATTTATGAATTGTGATATTAATTTGACTGGATGGAATTTTTAGAACTTTGCAAACTTACATCACCGGAATGTTCATTCATTTATCTTTTATTCTTTGTGCAGGTTAAGCTGTTTCAATGCCAACCCTGTCAATTCCATAGATGCTCTGAAATATCTATGCCCCATCGAACATGTTATAGTCGAACCAGATCAATTAAAGTATCAATGGCTGACCATAACGAACCTAATGAGGTTAAGATGCAGATTGGGATCATGAGGGAGAAACTCAAGGAAGCAATGCCAATCTCAGTTCAAGAATTTCCTTGGACAAAAGCTGAGCGTGTTCTTCTAGATAGGTTCCTTAATCTTGCACAAGAGGCAGTGAAATGGTCTCTCATTTTATTTTTCTTCTTTAGCTCTTTATCAGACATAGTATATACATTCTCCAGAAATTGTGAATTGATAATCCCTGTTGGCCTCTTTGTTGGCTGTGTTATGGCTGATTTCTTGAAGGAGATATCACAAGAATTGTTTCAAAGATATGAGGTATATTCTGAATTTGTTGTTTTTTTCATCCACAGTTTCATGCTCAGTTGATTTGGTCCTTTGTTTGATCTATTAATGGACTTGCTTTTGCTGTATATCTGCCCATGAATTTGTACTTGACAGGGAAAGGATTTGAAATGGCATCTTCTTGGCATGTATTGCCTTTTTGTGTTTGTCAAGTTTATGTCCACATGGTTTGCAGTACTACCACACGTGTTTCTTTTGCATGTTGCAAATGGTGGACTGATGCAGGTTTTGTGGTATTGGAGAAATTTTATGGAAGATGCAAAGAACAAACAGGAAACAAGCACTTCCTCTGGTTTGGAGGCTTCATGATAGATGGATGGATAGGTTTTAAGTTTTTTGGCTCATCTTTGTGAGCAGATTGGGTTGTATTTTGGTATAAATATCTGGCCGACATAATCTTGCAATCTTTCCGCCAGTTTCTCTTATCATTCCTGAATTTCGTCCAGCAGCAACTAACCACTCTCAATCATATTGCCCATTGTTAAGTGGTTATTTTTTTCTGCTTCTTAAGGTGGATGCAGCACAGTGTAGGAGCAAGTTTTAAGTATCATGTAACAATAGATAAACAGTGACTTATTCTGTTATGTTTATGGGCATTACCATTTAACTATCAAGAAATATTTTTCTTTTTGCGTTAAATTGAAATTCATTCAGATGTCTTATCTGGGGGAAAAGGATCTATAAAGAAAATAGGAACAAATTTCACTTGAGACTGATTCATGATCAAGAGCTTTGCAGTAAGTTTGAAGCGTGGATGGCACATTTATCATTTATTAAAATCTATACGTAAAATGGTAGCATATGATAAAATGGGTTAAAATTTTAAGGTTTTCCTTAACTAGGTATTTGAGATATGCAAAATTAAATTCTTGAAGTATATCCAAAATCATAAGTATAATGAGTTAAGTTTATTGAAATATTATGATAAAAACCAGGAAAAGAAGTCAGATATTAAACATGCCATGCTACTGGAAAAAGTGCTTTAATTACTAATCCATCATACAAAATAATGAAGCAAATGAAGGAAATATAATTCATAGGTTAAAAATGAAAAAAAAAAGTGTTATTTTGTGATTAAAAAAAATATTGCTCAAACTAAAAGAAAAAAATTATCACAAAATTATAAAGTTTGCATTGTTAAATGAAAATGAACGTTGACCAACAAAAAGGCAATATATATATGGTCCTGCAAAGATTAAAATGTTGCTTTGAGTGAATAGACCATTAAACAAGATTAAGAATAAATGCATCTAAGGATTTTTTTTTTCTGCCCAAAGTAAACTGATGCTATTTTAATAATCTAACGTGTACTTTTTAATTTTTATATTTTATTCACAATAAGGTTAATATCTGCATTTATTCACAATATTGGAATTTAGTTATTCTCTAAAACGTACGAGGTATTTTAATGCATCTCTTTCTCTTCCATTTCTTGGAAAAAAATTAAAAAAACTCATTTAATAAAATGCATTTCTTAAATAATATGTAATATCATATTATATGATTTTAAAATAGTTTAAAGAACAAGTTAAAACTAAAATAATTTATCTAAATTTATAGATATAATTATGTCTGAGTTGATGGCGAATTAGTAATTTTACAAAGTTTTCTTTAAGAAAGGTAATCCTGATTGCATTGTATCAGATTTTACGTTGTTAAATGAATTTTATTATTTATTTATCATATATTTGTCTATATCGTTAACTATTTGTTCCTTTCCTTTAATGCTGTTCATATATTTGCTTATATTTGTAACTATATATTTTGACATAAAACACTTATTTCTAATAAATTAGTTCTCTACAATTATACTTATTATTAATTCTATTTAATTTAATATTGAATAAAATTTTTTATTTAGTTTTACTAACTATAATAATAGTTTTTTACTTAATAAAAATATCTGTATTGGTTTTCTCTTTTCTTTGTTAAGCGTAATCCAATTCATCTTCGTTTAATTTAATGCTCATTTCTTTTTCTTTTATTTTTAAAATGCGAAATCACGAAGGTAATTCATCCAATGACCTGGAGACATTTTGTTTGAAAATTTTAATGTAATTAATAACTATACAACTCACAACAAAGACTCATTCTCAAGGTAGATCTTGGGATATTTTTGAGAAATACTAATCAATCAAATGAACTATATAAATTTACATGTGTTTCTTAATGTATTTTATATAAATTGTTGATGTTTAATCTATAAAACTGCAAATAATTTTTCACAAATAATAATGTTTAGTTATATTTCTCATTTAAAAAATATATTCAAGGAAATAATGTTACATCTGGCCACTTTTTATCTTATTAAAAAAGTTAATTTTTTTAAATATTAGTTGAATATAATTTATAATTGAAATATATATTTTTTAATCATGTTTATAGTAATATTTCTTTTAAAAGACAACTCATTTTATAATTCATAAAGAATATATCTATTTTTAAAAATTATTATAAATAAAACTAAATACTGTAATAATATTTTTAAATGATAAATATCATAAAAATTTCCCAAAGGAAAATATTTATTAATTTAAGATGCACCATTATCACTTGCTTAATCTATGTTTTTGACATATTCAAATCCTCTACAGTTTTGGAGGGAACTGTAGTTTATAGTTTAAATTCGCTTAAGCAAATTTATCAAAAAGTGATTTTTGCTTAAGCCAAAAAATTCACTTAAGTGAATGTAGTTAAAAAGTGATTTTTGCTTAAGCCGAAAAATTGGCTTAAGCCAAAATTGTAAAAAATTTTAAAACTTCATCTTCTTCTTTAAGTTAAAGAAAATTCAAGAAATTTTTATTTTTCACCGATGGCTACCTAGTTACCAAAAACTTACATATTTTATCCTACCAAATATTTTAAATGTATTGTCTAGTGTGCTACTTGTACTAAATATTAGTAAAATAGAACTACTTAATATCAAGTTAAATTGCTGAGAATGATGATAAGGATTATATGAATGATAACTTTGAGAAATTGGTTAAGAAATAATTATATTATTACATGTTTTAAAACACTTAAGTTTTTGTGGTATGACCACAAAGTGTGACCACATGATCTTACACAAAATGTTTCTATATGTATTGTCTAGTGTGCTACTTGTGCTAAACATTAGTGAGATAGAACCATTTAAAATCAAGTTAAATTGTTAAAAATGATGATAAAGATTATAAGAATAATAACTTTGAGAAATTTGTTGAGAAATAATTGTATTATTACATATTTTGAAATACTTTAAATTTTTATGGTATGACCATAAAGTGTGACTGTGATTTTGCACAATTTTTTTTTAACTTTTCTGTAGTTTAAAGAGAAAGAAAATGAAATTTTAAATTTTTTTATAATTTTAACTTAAACAAAAATTACTTTTTGACTAAATTTGCTTAAGTGAAAATTATTTTTGTTAAATTCATTTAAGCAAAATAAAATTCGCTTAAACGAATTTAAATTGCTAACTACAATACCCTTTAGAGGATACAGATTTGTTTTTGACCCTATTTAATGGAAAAGACTTAGATGATATTGTTGTATTCTTATATATCCATTTAAATTTAATTGAAAACCATTTGAAAAAGATTTACAATTAAAATTATTTAATGAACAATGACTTTCATAATTTCAATTGCATCTATAATTTTATTTTATTTTTTGGTCTAAGTCTACATCTATGATTGATTAATTGTTCATGCACCGGCACCTTTTGGGCCCTTGGGGATGATTCTTGCACAGTGCAATCTCGATTACTCATTTCATAACACACCAACTACCGCTTTATCCGAACCTATACTCATTGTGCGTGGAGCGGGCCATGATCTATCTTTTTGAATAATTTCCTTGCCTGAAAGTGAAAAGCAAACCTACCAAGTTATTAAACATTATCTGAAAAGTGAAATTGCAACCATTGTTTAGAAGCAAACCTTTCTCCATATCTTGTGAAGATTGAGAACTCCCCTTGTCATCGTGATGATTGGACTCATTGGAGCATTCGGCTTGTGTTAAGGTATGTGGCATCAAACTGAACTGGTTGTAACATGAACGCAATTGTTCATAAATCTCTTTCATCCTTCCACAGTGCTCATCTTTCCGATCCATGTCAATGAGAGTCTAAAGCAGGCTGAATTAGTTTTAAGAGGGTTGAATGAGAGACAAAGACGGGCAGTGAGAAAGGGAAGTTTTACTTTTACCTGTGCTGAATTGCTCTTAAATACTGGGAGAAATCGTTGTCTACAATACTGGTGAAATAAGAGGGTACAAATCAGCAATGGAATGGTGAATCCAGATGCAACTGATGAGCGTTTAAGTCCAAACACTCCTAGCGCGATAAGTTGAGCAAGTAGCAATGAAAAGACTGTCGTGTTGTGGGCAATGGGCCAGTACTGTCCCCCGCCATCGTATTTTGTAACGTATACGTTGATAATCTGGGGGGAAAAGGGGCTAATGTTAAATGAAAGCTTTTTATGCAGGTTAAAAATAAATCAAGGAAACATCTAACAAAGTGTTTAATTGGAAGGAAATAAAGAAATGAATTATTTTAGAAAAATAATCTTGTTAGCGTCAGAATGTTTTTAACAAAAAAATTCTATTTGTAATCGCTTAAAATCAATTCAAAAGTTGTTAACAAAATAATTTTAAAAATATTTTATTTGATTCAAAATTTAATAAAGAAAAAGAGAAAAATGAGGAGAGCCAAATAATAATATTATCTACTCCTATGGTATCCTCTTACTAATCCTTTTTAAAAGAAAGTATTAAATCATAAAATAAATATATTTAATATCTTAAAATATGTAAGAAAAAAAAAACACATTGTTTTCTCCATCTAATAAGATTAGTAGGAACATCTTAAAAGAATACATTTGTTTTGGGCTTAGATTTACATTTCTGAGAATGTTGAGATAGGTATATAGTGTTCCTACGTTTGTTTCAAATTTCGTAAAAACTGTCCTCATACAAAATTTACTCCTCGGCATATGTCTTGAACGTTACTCCCATCAATTCCCTCCTACGAAGAGAGGTGGGTATACTTTATTTTCATAGGAATTATTGAAGTCTTACAATAATTGGTGATGGGTGGGTATAGTGGATAATGAGATAAAAAAATAAAAGCAACTTCTATTTTTTAGGGATATTTTTTTCCTTATAATTACATATCGAAGAATAATTTTTTAAATAATACAAGATACTAAACATGGACAAAAATTATTCTTAGAAACTTCATTTCCAATATTTTACTCCCATAAAATTAGCATCATTTTCCAAAAACAAAAGCAACCTAAGGGTATAATTGTGCAAAAGTTTATATTCACTCTTCTCCTCCCTAACCAACCAAGCAAAATAGCTGGGACTTTCTTCCCCTCCCTTCCACTTTTCTCTTCAATTAAAATCTCTCCGCTTCCCTTCCTTCCTTTGAATGTAATTATAGGGGTTTCATTTCATTTCATCTTATTTTAAACAATTTAAATAATGAACCCTAACATCATTCCATTGCGTGCAATCTCCTTTTATAAATCAAAACATAACCTAAGCATCATTTCACGTCATAAAGTAGACTGCATCATATATTTTGGCTAGAATGTTATTCTAGAAACAAATCAAACATGACCATATATCATTGAATGCAAATATGTAGATACATACATCACTTCCTCTTTTTTTTTTTTTTTTTTTTGACATCTGCATCATTTGTAGTCAGAAAACTAACGGGACCTTCGATATATATACACCCAGTGTTTCTAACTTCTAAAACGCGCTTAACAAAATTAATAAATGCAAATGATATTCCATGATCAAATTTCTGTATATAATCGACTACTTTAAGTCTGATTTTTTTTTTTCAGTCAAAACGAAGAGAAATCTCCTTATTGATAAGGGCCCCTACAAGCCATAAGCATTAACGTTCTAATTCCCACCTTCCTTTAGCAATTCTTTTATATTATAATATTTCATTTGTGAAACCAAGGTGACATGAACTACGGTGCAAACCCTCCTCCCTTTCCTCTCGGAAATAAAAAAACCCCTCACATAGAGTTCAAACCTCTTAACTCACCTCATTCCCCAAGAACTATAACTCAAATATAAATACCTAAAATAATATACAACAAAGGAAACAAAAAACGTTAAACAGACAAATTAGGGAAGTTTTTGCGCAAAGGAAAGAAGTGCAATAAACTTCATAATGGGGGAAAAGAGAAGACAAACACATGATAGATGTACCAACCTGGTTTCGGTAAACAAGGTAAGCAAGGCAAAAGTAGATCAACAAGAAGGGCAACATTAGGGGTGCCAGAATAGAACAGGTGAACCCAAGGAATCCAAACAGTAAAATTCTTGGAACCTCTGTATGGTACGGAAAAGATAGGCTGCCCTCCAGTTCATCATCCTTAAACCAAAGTAGGAATCTCCGGAAAACGTTGCATAGAAGAGGAAAAATTTGTATAACTTCACATGCCAAACTTGCCCAACCGGATGATAAAACGTAAGTTGTGAAGAAGGTAGCCTGCATATCATGAATAAGGCCAAAGTAAATTGAATCAATAATTACATAACAATTACTGATTTATCTCTTCTAAAAATATGTAGAAAACGAAATCAAGTCAACAGTGTGTTCGTTGTCCAGTGTTGCTCAAATCCCTAATACATGCAAGTGTATAAAAGCATTTCAACAAGAAAACACAACAAAAAATACACACTTGTAGAAATTTAGATAAATGACCTGCGCTGGGACTGCCTTGGCAAGTTGGGCAGGCAAATCTGTTACGCTAGAAAAGACAGAGAGTTGACTGATAACGGAACCAGTAAATACATTAACAAAAAACACGTTCCAGATTGTGAAGTACAAGACTTTACAACATGCACTCTTCTTCCTTCCACTACGGGAAATAGAACCCTCCACTGCTGAAAATAGCATCATCATGGGTGGAACTGCGCACAAAAATAAAACCAATATCACACTTGGTAGGTAACCAGTCACCACCTGATTCACAAATTTCCTGCAAAAAGACAAGTCAACTTACAGTGAACTTCATAGCATTTCAAAATTTGTATCAACCTCACATACCAAAATTCAAGTTTGAGTTCTCATTATAGTTAATGATAATTTCATTTTTAACAAGACAGTATGCAGATACAAAAGTTTATCATTGCTTATGCGAGAAATTAAAAACTAAAAGCAGGCTTATTAAAAGGACAAACGGTGAACAACTGTAACTAATACATAAATATTGACACTATCACTGCAAACAAGCAGCAGACATGATAATAACCTAAAGCTTAATAAAATATCAGAGAAAAGTTTGGTAAAATTCCAAATAAGGAGTTCTTTGAAAAAAATATCTTAGTTTATTAAACTCAAGTGGTTACTAATGAGCCACTGTTTCAACCTAGTTTACTAGTTGAGTGGTTAATTGTTCCGAAACTATAGATGTTTTTATCAATTTCATTTTTCTAATTTTCCCTAACATCTTTCTTATTAAAACGAAATTGTATATTCATCAAGTTAATCCACCATGTTACATATTAAAATAAAGTTTTGCATACATCTTATCATGCATAATTCTTCTTTTCAAATTCCCGATCCATATATATAGCCAAAAAAATGAGCCATGCCAAGATTCTAGAAGTCCATTAGTCCCTCATAGATGCAGGAACATCTTACTTTTTAAGCATCCCCGTCAGAAAAGGGAACGTTTTCTGAAGTTTTTCCAGTTGAGTCAAGCCTTGTACAAATGTGACAGGGATAAGAAAAACAAGCATGAAGGCAACAGAAGCCACAAGTGTAGTTATCTTACGGATCCAAAGTTGCCTATATGGTATGCAAATATTGGACCAATAAACATCGTGTGGCTCCGGGGCTACATCTGTCACCCATAACATAGGATTTGATGTTTGCAGTATCTGTGCAGCCAGAAGAGCAGCATACCGGCTTTTAAAGAACACAAAAGCAGCAGCACATTCCTGTATCAGAAATCCAAACAGGAAGCTAAAAAAATTAGTGGACACAACAAATTGTTGACATTATGTAACCTGAATTCCTTTAAATATTTCTATAACTAACAAATGACAAAAAATTGTAATGGCAAGGATTTCATAGCATAAAAAATGGTAAATAATGATAATAATATGACACACACAGAAGAAGAGAACACTCATTATATATTACGTCAAGTCAGACAACATTATAGATAATTGCATCTTTCGAGAGTGAATAAACAACTAGCTCACAACAAATTTTCATCTATGATAATGCACAAACAGAAAACATACACATATTTGGAAGTCCCAGTGTGGTAAAAAATTAAATTTGAGATAAATTCAAAACCAAAATAACAAGATTTAACTTGTCACAATCAATCCAAAATACATCTGAACTTCCAAACCCAAAAACCAAACATTTCAGATATTTTTCACCATGTAGGCATGGACCACTTTATAGTCTCTGTCTCCTGATTTTAGGTATACATCTATCAACCTAGTATACTTGTTCTTCTGAGAATGCTAATTCTCCAGCTATTAGGTAGAAACATGAATGGTTCTTTTATCTTTGGTACACCCACTCACACAAGTTTGGAAAAGAAACATGGAAAATAAACAGTTTACCCTATGGTCATATTTATTTATTTATTATTTACTTTCTTTTGCAAATGCTCATATTGAATATTAGATATGAATAACAGGTGTTGAAAAGATCTTACTCTAGCCTACTCATCAAAGAGGCTCCAACACAACGTCAAGAACCATTTCATTGACAAAGCTTAAGCCGATAGGTGTAGGTCCAAGAATGGTCGTTACATTTCTCACGGACCTAAAAGAATGGACTCCATCAATGATTATTTGTTCATCTATGTAACATGCTAGGAAATTGCCTTTTCAACTTTACATTACTTATGAGGCTTTGGAAACATTTATAGGGAATTAGTTTAAACTAAAATTTCCCTGGTTTACATTGGGTACAGGTCAAAACAATGTACTGGAAAGAATATAATTAAGTTTATCGCTGAAAATCAAATAGAAAAAGAAAAATGAATCATAGTAATTGTTTATATTCATAAATTAAATTCATGTTAAGAAACCTTTTTTTTCTTTTCATACAACAATATCAACTTAAATCACATAGTAAATTTCCAAACAAATGTCAAATCATAAAAAGGAAAGTTTACATCATTTCATAATTATATAAACCAGTCCAGTCAGAAAAATCACCTTTTTTCTTGAATCCAAATGCACGTCAGTATAGCCCGTTCTCTCATGCTTACAGTCCATCTCATCAGAAATCTTCTTAAAAGAATTTGTGAGTGGTACAGAGTAGCAGCATTGCATAAAACAAGGCTTGCAAGTATTTTCCAATGAACCAGCTCTAAGTACCTGGCACACAAGTTCAGCATCATCCTGAGGGAATAGATCAAAATAAACATTAGTGTAAGTAATTGTTCTGTCACCTAGAACATTATACACGATTGTATTATTGAAAGAAAGAAAAACTCTAAATATAATAAAATATAATTACAGTTTTGAAATCAAAATCAAAACCCAAACCTGGGTGGAGGGAGTTAGTAGTTTTTAATAGATCTCCAATCTTTGTAATATATTCTCCAAATTTATTAAATAGTGAATGACTTCGCAGATATAAAGAAATTTCTCAAATATCATACCACTACCCAGGAAATGAAATTTACTTTTTAGTGCAAACCTTAATCTTATGCATAAGAAAGATTACAAATTGTCCTATTACATCAACACATGGGTCAAAAATAATTGTTTTGCCATCTGAAAGAGCTCAACAAAATGTGAAGTCAGGCATACGTCAGAATGAAAAAACTATCCCATTTCTATTAAAGAGAATTCCAAAAATTTGTCAAATTAAATACAGAGAAAGAGATACAAATACCATACCAAATCACCCAATAAAGTGCAAAGAAAGAGTTAGGAAAATGAAAGAAATGCAGATACCACGGTATATTGATATAACCCACATTGACAGTAATGACAACACTAAGTGATGATGGTCTAAACAACAAACTGTACATAAATACCTTCATTCCTATTTATCTGTCCAAAGAAAGAAGAAACTACACAAACCAATGAATCCAATCATTTTTTTAGAATTAATTGCTAAACTTATCAATTTATTCTTTATTAATGAGTCTCCTTTAACTCTTGAACTACTCAAATAGTATAAATATTTTTTGTATGGACAAAATGGTATTCATGGAAGAATAGCAATTAATATAGTCTTCAACTTTAACATGAACAGATAAAGAAGAAAAAATTTCTTATCTTTCTAGATAGATAAATATGAATAGAAGTAATATAAAATTAACAAACAGAATGATACTGAAATGACAATAAAAAATATTGAAATGAGTTTAGAAGTGCACCTTTATTTTTTGAACTGTACCAGACTTATAAATCAGTCGGTGCGACAAATATGTTGATGCATGGTAATATGAAAAGAATTGTTCCACCATTTCACAGTATGATTTTTCTGAAGACCAGGGAATTGATCGAACAAGAATTGTAAAATGACTTGGATTTGGAGGTGATCCAATAATATGTAGTAACCTCAATTTAGTGATGCTCTCATATTCCTAAACATAAACACCAATAGATTAATATTTAAGAAATTGGAAAAGTAAAATTAAAAAGAAATTGTTAGGCCATTTCATAAAAGTGGGTAGAGAAATTTATTGTTGTAGATCAATTCAGATCCTTACAAAGTAAAGAAGAGTACAAGCTGAGAATGTTATGATGTATAGTGCGAGACAATGAGCCCAAAGCCTGACGACAAGCAAAATAATAAAAACAACATATTGATATTAGTAACCAATTTGGAGGTGTATTCCTGATTAATTACTACTTCATCAACATCATAAAATAAAAAAGAACATAATAAATATAGTAGAATGGCTAAGGCCGTTATAAATTCCAATTTCACATTTTCTTCCACACAACACAGTCCATGTTTTATTTCTTTTGGGAAAAAAAAAACAGCACAAATAATCTTGCCAATAAAGAAAACTCGAGTAGTTTACTCAGCCATGAGGAGGAAAAGTCAAACAAGAAAGCAAATTCACATTTTTATTTGAGAACATTGTGCATTCCTTCCTTAGAAACTCTCAAGTAAGCTTATATATACTCTATTGTATTTCTCAGCTAGTACACTATACGCATTGTTGGATATTCTATTTAAATTAACATAATTGGGATTTCCTTTGAAAGATAAGATGCAAGTCATACCATTTTGAACCTTCTTTGACATTCTCAATGGTAAATACTTCCAGTGACTCGAAAGGTATATGCTTATGCATTCTCTCCTGACCATGGTAATTTACAGGAAGCACTAGAACAGTGCAGATGACAGCAGCAATGGAAAAAACTCGAATGCTGAAGGAACAATAAAAACATTTACAGTTATTACAGCCACAAGATTGACAATCAAATTCCCTTTAAACATTTAAATTTTTTATTTTATGTGATTTTAAATGTATGATAAACAACTGGTTATGATTTGAATAAAAAAATTGGTGCTGAAACCAAACATATAAAAACCAAGGCATAACAAAAGCTGGATACGGTAATTTATCATACTCAATTGAAAAATATATAAATTCTATAAAGGAGCAAGCTCACTCTTAGCATCACTATTTTGTTAATAAGTAATTGACATATCTATGTCAACATCAATTTTGCTACTATCTCTGTGAGTACAAATCTCAATTCTCGTTATTGATGTATAAATGTGTTAAGAAAATACCTTCTTATGCATGCACAAAACCATAAATATAGGTGATAGATTGATAGATGAACATTTATCATATTGAATAATCATACCATAAAATTTAATTACATTATATTTTTAAGTACTTGTCCCATCTGACAGCATAAATATGCAACTAAGTATGATTGTTGAGATGAATATTCTATTTCCTAGCAGATTTCAATGTTTAGATGCCCTTTAACACACATACTCAGTAGAGTGACTTTCATGACAACTGTTTCTGCAACAAAGAAAAACCATTTACAATATTAAATTGCTGAACAACACAGTTAGAATTTTAATGAATATTGATCAGAGATGTTATTATGGCACATGTGAAATGTTATCAAATATATACTCCTGACATGTGTATTCAATGGGACACCAAGTGCATCTTGAGAGTAGAATAACAAAATTCATCAAAATGAGTTTAATAACATCTTCACTTCTACTTAACTAGGAATAAAAAATCTTCACTTAGTAGTTGAAGACTGGCATCTGGTAGAGTTCAGATTAAAAAATTAACAGATATGAAAGCAATTCACTCTAGTTCAATCACACAGCTAAAACTACTCAAATTTTAGAAGGGTTGAAGAACCTGAACACAACCATCCTCACAAAAACCACGGCATCCAAGCCACCAATAGCCAGTATCTCATCCTCAGTCGTTTCCCATGCTTTTACTATCCAGCTAGGGGAGGGAACAAATCTATCCAAGCAGAGATCAATGCGTCTTGAATGCTGAGAGGCTAGTCTCCGCCCAAAGTACACATTAACATTGCTGGGTTGTTTTCTTAATACAGAATAAAATGAAAAGAGCACCACACACACAGCAATATTAATGCCAGCCGAAGTTAAAAGAGCAGCAATGTCCATCCCCGCTCACTGTACTCCCAAACGTGACACATCCCATTACCAAAGAAGAAAGACATTAGAAATCCAAGCCATGCCCATAACCTGAAAGAGTATATATTCCAACCAATGTCTCAATTAGAAATGGATTTTTTGGACAAGTACAAGAAAGATCTTTTCATTTACTTGGTTAAGTTGCAGCAGGTTGTCTGGCCGTAACTATGAGATTTTTCATCATGAAACAATAGGCAACAACAGTAAATAGATGCAAAGAACTGAAGCCAAAAAAAGGATAGTTCACTTGAAAGTTAATAATAATTGACACATTTCTGAGAACTAAAGAAGTGCAAGAACATTTACTTCGACATTCTACAGTCATCTCATGAAAATACATGCCTAGAATTTTTTCCACACAGTATACAAAAATATTCAACATTAGGAAACTGTCCACTATGCAACTTGTTCTTAAGAGAGACGAATTCAAAATACTAATAATACAAATTGATGATGACATTGGCAATCACTTTCTAAGCCATAACCCTACCCAGCAGCAAGTTATGGAGGATTTGATAAGGGTATTTTGCACAAGTATGCAAAGCTACTTGGGATCAAGTTTCATAAACTTCTCAGTGCACTTTTCCAACTTACCAAATACCAGAGGATACCAACAAAAGGCCCATTTAAAGGTTTTGTTGGGAATCACCAAAAATTGGAATTCATATTAATTGAATTGATTTTTAAAAATAATTTTCATTTTTGGAAGTAATTTTAAAAAATGGGATCTGAACTGATTCACAAATAAAATTTCATTGTTCTTCATAACAACACACTAAGGACAAATTGAATTCATCTTGTAGTAGTAATTTACTTATTTCCCGTACTTAAAATAAGTAGACGACTCAACAAATAGGGGGAGGTAAAGTCAATTTTTTTTAGTCCAGGGTGTTGCTCGTAATAGGCCCTTCAAGGGGGAGGAGGAAAGAAGATAAGAGAAATGGGAAAGGAACACAGTACAATGCATGGGATAAAATCCGCACATTTACAATTCATGTCTGACAATTTAACCAAGCTGACTCGAGGAACCCATTGAGAAAAAGTCAATTCAAGCAATAAAAAAAAATCAATTCACAAAGTATTTGATTCCAACACACACTCAAAACGTTAAATTTATTAATTAATAAATCCAATATTGAATTTGCAAAACCCTACTTTGTTTCCATGCTGTAGGGGATAAAATCCATAAACAGGGTTTGGACTTCGGTAGGCAGAAGACAAAAGGAGCAAAAGCAGTTCAGTAAATCACTAACAGTTTCACTAATTAGTGGAATCGAACAAAATTAAGAACCTATTGTCATCTATCTAAACAAAAACAACAGACTCACCACAGACATCACCAAAACAGATTCAAACTAACACAGCTTTTAAACCAAACACACACCAAAAAAATAAAAATAAAAATAAAAATCCGTATCACTATTACAGGACTAGGCACAGCACAACAAAACACGTGAAAACAAAAAACGGAAACAGTTAATTCTGAATGAACCAATAAAACAGACAAAAACAAAACGATTCCAGAAGGAAGTAACAATCCGAATCCAAAGAAAAAAATAAGAGACAAGGAAGCGCAATGTACCAGCACACAGATGAACAATTTCGTCAACGAAGAGGATCGATTAGCCTCAGTGTAAAAAGAAGCGAGAAAAATGCTGAACGAAAAAACAACCGAAGAAAGCAAAGCTTAAAAGTCAAAACTCGCAGCGCCTTGCTGCGCGCCTTGCTTCTACTTCTCAGAGACGCACGTTAATGCAAAGGATCTATTCCAAGGAAACGAACAAAAATTGAAACCCTATGTTTTGGGGGTTTTCTGTTTTTCTTTCCTTTCACCCGTCGCCGGAAATTGCAAATATCCAAAAAGGGAATCACAATGACCAATTAGTCACAGAGCATTATTATCTCTCTCTCTCTCTCTCTCTCTCTCTCTCTCTCTCAGCAGACACAGAACACGCTATTAGCTAAAGCGTAGATAATCACCGAAAAGCCACGTTGTAATATCGTGACTCATAATAATTGAAATGATTACGATTTGAAAGAAAAAGCGGGAGTAACGGATCCTCCACGTGGCGAACACCGAGGCGCCAACCTCAAGTGCGTGTAACTACCCCAACTGGCAGTGGAAACTTTTCGGATACGCTGCTTCGCGAACCATGACGCAACTCTATGCGATCGCCTTCGGTGAGATGCCACGTGGACAATAATGAAGCTATTGGCTTCTTTCTTCTGCCCTTGCTTAAACGTCATTTGCCGACTTGTTTGTTTGCGTAGGATTTTTACATTCAGAATCGTATTGGGCTCGAAACACGATTTGCTCGCTTGTTGTGAGTCGCAGACTTCATGCTGGGCCCACCAGAAGGGAATTGTCAAGAAATTGGACCAGATGGGCTTTCGTGTTCGTTTAAAACTATTTCTCCACCTAAAATAATTAGTTGCCACTCCATAACAATACGATTAATGAAAATCATGGGTTCATGGTACACAATATTTGATGGAAAGGAACTGTCTAGGAGATAATATCCTCGAAAGAGAAATTCTATTTGTATAAAAAAAATTGTATAAATTTCGTTATATCTTGACCAATTGGAAGAGAAGGGGAAAGAAAGGAATGATGAGATAAATGCTGTGACAAAGAGAAATAGAAAAAAAAAGTATAATAATGAAAATTTGTTGTAAAAATATTGCAAACCGTACTTGAAAATGGACAATTTTTTTAATATATTGTCATTTCATTACAAGAAGGTTAACAGAAAGCATGGAACACAATAGTTGGTGGGGAAAAAAATGTGGAGGAGGGAGGAGAGATACTTGGGTGTATTTTGTAGGACAACACCCCCCCCCCCCTTTTCTTTTTTAATCTATATATTATATGTCTTTTTACAGGCTTTTTTTATTTGGGACTAGGGCTAGCTGTTATGAATTCACGAGCAATAAAACCATTTATTTAATGATTGGACTATTGCAAATCTAGCAGGATTTGCAACAATTATTTTCTACTGCAATGTTGGCTTTAAGTCTTACCCATCTGTCTTAAATGTGCTGAAGTTCTTATGCCTAATATGACACCCTACCTGGAGGTTTGATTAGTCAAATATAATCAACACCCGGTAATTTGAAATTTCGTAGCACGCAACCAACTAATACCCCACATGTACTACGGATCCAGATCGCCTACAGTTCTGGCGAGAACTGCCGGTTGCAGTTTTTCTCTCGCTTAAGTGACCAATAAAAGGGCTTAAACATGCAGAAATGCGCCTAAGCGGGCAAGAACAGACTTTTAAGCGAAATTCGCTTAAACGACCATATCAAGCTTAAGCGAATTCCAAATAGCTTAAGCCCTCCCAAGCGAAAAAGAAAAATTTAAAGCAAAAATGGACCAGAGAGGCATGTTTTTCAGTCACCTATTTTGCTTAAGCTAATCGTTAATAGCTTAAGTTAATTTAAAATCGCTTAAGCCCCTCGTGAGCGAAAAAGAAATATTTGAAGCGAAAATGGACCAGAGAGGCATGTTTTTCAGTCACCTATTTCGCTTAAGCTAATCGTTAATAGCTTAAGCTATTTTCTCCTCGCTCAAGCTACGACCAGCGAATTTAATTATTATCAAGCGAATGTAAAACAAAGAGCACATGTTTCAGGCAGTGTAATTAGCTTGAGCGAAATTTAAATAGCTTAAGCTAATTGTGGTAGGGCTTAAGCCAGACTTTTACAAATGCAGCTAAATTTTTTTAGCTTAAGCAATTTTTATCAGCTTAAGCGAATTTATTAGAAATTACATTTACCTGTACATGCTGATATAATCGCTTAAGCCCATATCTGTAGCTTAAGTGAAATATATAGGCGCTTGGGCAAAATTGGATGGCTTAAGCGAAAGGTATAAAAAATCCAACCTAATCCTAATACAGACAACAATTAAGGGGGCCAAAATACACTTGATTACATATAAATTACGTCAAACTTACATCTTACACAAAAAAAAGTTGATAAATACATATTTAGCTTAGAAACAAAATAAGTTTTGGTAATTGCGTAATCAAATTTGATCAAGAATTGAAGTATTGGTATCATGAAGTTATCCCTGCAAAATAAGAATAGACATTACAAACAATAATGGATGGAAAAAAATTCATGATATTTGGTTTGATTTAAGTTGGTAGTCTTACTGTTAACAAATCCGTAAAACTTAATTGAGTGACTAATGTTTGAGGGGGATCATAACATGGAGGCGCCGAACAATGTACTTCAAATGAATCTGAAAGCATTGGTTGATATTCCTAAAACATTCAATGATAGTTGATAATTAAAGCATTGGTTATAATAAGGAAGTTAAAATAAATTTATTAATTGATAATTAAAGTAATCATAAGACAGTACCTTAGATGCTGATTGACCTAAAGTTGGAGTTTTGTTCTTCTTTCTTTTTGTTTGTAATTTAACCCAACCTTTGAATCTTTTAGACCCTTTCCTCTTAATGGTTGGTCGTTGCTTGAATCCCTTAGGTTGTGTACCCTGATTGGTGATGTTATTTACACCATCATCCCTATTCTTGTCATTATCTTGTGTTTGTAAGTAAAGCTTTGCAATGTGGCCCGCTAAAGTGTTAATACTGTCATCCACTAATTGACAATATTCTTCTGAACTAGAAACCTCAGAGACTAACCTAATCATTTTATATGCTAGTTGTCGGTATCTTCGTGTAGTAGAAAGTATATGATCTTCTTCCACTTGTATGCCTTTTACATTGTGAATAATTCCACAATGACCTTCTTTTGTCCATCTCTTTAGAATGTATTTGTCAGGAATAGCCTTTACATCATTGGCTTCAAACACTTTCAAAGCATGACAGCAAAGTATGCCCATTGTTTCAAACTTTTTACAAGAGCAATTGATAGTAGTTGAGGAACTATCAAATATTACTGTCCATGACCTTTGTTGATTGACTTTAGTAATTACATATTCAATCAAATGAGGAGTTTTAATCCTTAATGATATGCAACATGCCAAAAATTGAGCAAACTCTTGTTGAAATAAATTATACACTGTATGTGTGTAAACCTTGGCCATTTGTATTAGGATTGGTGACATCTCATATCGCAACATGGCTAACTTATGACAAGAGTCATACTCACACTTAAGCTCGTTGTAACGCTTGTCTTCAACAACCCGTTCAAAGTGAGCAAAGAATTGCTTGATGTCAACACCAGGCTTCATACATGCTTTGGAATCAGAATTTAAGTTTTCACTCAGCTGAGTACTTCGCATTCCAAGGGTTAAACAATCCTTCAGATAACATGATGCTCATTTCTCCTTTATGGAATACAGTGAAGTAATCCAAGTATTTTGTTCAACATTGTATTCTATAATGAACTTTGTCCAGGCCTCCTCAAAGTCAATTGAACTATCAAAGTCATACATGCATCTTTTCAAATCTCTTAAAAAATGACTTCCTCCTTTCATCAAATTGCCAAGGTGTTTTATTCCATTTTGCATTAAGTGCCATGTACATAATGCATGATGTGTCTCTGGCATTACATGGACAAGTGCTTTGGCCATAGCTTGATCTTGATCTGTAAAGATTGTTTGAGGTTTTCTGTTGTTGTGTGCTTCCAAAAAAGTCTCAAACAACCATTGAAATGATTCGGCTGTTTCATCATACAACAAGGCTGCTCCAAAGATAACAACACCTTTGTAATGGTTAAAGCCGAAAAATAATGCTAGAGGCCTATTAGCACGATTGGTGCAATATGTTGTGTCTAGTGATACAACTTCACCAAAAAACCATAATCAATTACCATCTTTGCATCTGCCCAAAAAACATTTGTGATTTGCTCCTCTGCATCCATCTGGTACGCATGAAAATAAGTTGGGTTGTCTAGTAATTGTCGTTGAAAGTATTGCATTAGACAACCGACCTCACTGTATACCATTCCTCTTTGTCTTTTTGCTCTCAAATAATTCTTTGCATCTAGTCGAGTATACCCAACATTACCTCGATGTCCTGCAAGTGTGGACATTAGTTGAAATGATGCCTTTTGTCGCAATCTAGAGGCCTTAGCCAAATCAATTTCATGAGCTTGGACTTCAGTTATATTACGATGTGAAGCAAGCATGTGTGTTGTCTCAAGAAGTTGTAATGGGTGATTATACTCTTCAACAAACTCACGAATGACATACTTGTTGTTGTTTGCCAAAGACAATGATATCCTTGCAAGACATTCAGTTCTAGTTTCTGGTCGATGTTTTGTGACTTGGAGTTTTCTTTTATCTTCTATTCGATGTCCTTCTTTACAACAAACATATCTGTAACCTGTAATGACACCATCTACCTTTCGCTTGTTAAAATATTGTTTCCTGACTCTAAATCCTGCCAGCTTGCCATATTCACACCAAAATCACCATGCTTGCTCAAGACTCTCAAACTCTTGCCCGACACTTGGTTTCCTTGCGACATCCATTCTTCAGTCCAATAAAATAACAGTAAACATGATAAATATTTTGACCAAAATAATGTTATATAACAGATGAAATGGTAAAATGTGCACCTTTAGTATGTTTGAAGACTTTCTTTATCACAGTCTAACTCGAAATGGATTTTATTTCTGCGAACTTGTGTCGTTTATCCTCACCGTGAGTGTGAAATAAGTCCTTACTAACGATAACCAATGATAATATTCTGTACTGAATGTTTCACGAAGAGTAAAAATAGATAAAACTTCTTTCTTCATAAATAAGTAAGGTAATCCTTGGCGCCAAAATTCTTGTCAAATTCGCTTAAGCCATAGCTAATTCACTTAAGCCGTATTCACTAACCCTTTTTGCGAAGGCAAAAATTTTCGCTTAAGTGACTTTTCGCTTAAGTGACCAAATATCACTTAAGCGAAATATTCAACTGTTGGTTTTTAAAAAACTGGAATCACACTGTCTCGTTTCCATTCCATTTCATTTCATTCCATTCCAACCCTTTTCTATTATTCTTTGAAAGTTTTGAACTTTCATCTTCCCCAAACGTCTCTGTTTGCAGTTTCAGATCAAGTTCAAGCTTCCATTTTTAACTCAGGTACATAATGCATGCTTTATGTTCTGTTCAATATAGTTTAGGGGTCCCTGAAAACTCACTTTCGTTGTCGCTTAAACGTCTAATAATTCTATTATTCTTAACTTCTGCATGAGATTATAGGACTTTCATGTGTTCAATATTGTGATATATGAATGAGATTAGTATTATTGTGTCTATGTTTGGACTTATTTAGAACATTAATTTTAGGGTTTAGGGTTAGTTTTCTTGCCTCTGTTATTCATGGTTGTTTAAGGGTTTAGTGCCTTTGTTGGAAGCCTCTGTAATTTTCGCTTAAGCAGGTTTAGTTCGCTTAAGCAAAAATTTATTCATAGGGAAATGGAAAGGTTAAAGGTTTCGCTTAAGGGGTTTCGCTTAAGCCACAAATTTTAGCTTGAGCAAAACATTCAAAGGTGAGATTTAATCACAGTTTATGTACTTCAGTCTTGACATTTCATTTCTAATACTATGCTAAAGTTTAGAACATTAAAATTAGGCTTGCATTACCCTATCATTTACTTATTGAAATAGATTCATGAACCTTATGCATTGCTTTCAACAGAACTAAAATAAGGCTTCCTAAACTACAATTTCTGCTGCATAAAATTTGGACTATGATAACTGAAAAGAATTAGAGATGAACTTAGCAAGTACCCCTGTGTTCTGCTGTTGTCCATTTTATGCATATTGAGTTGTTATCCTTCTTTCACATCTTGTTAAGGAATAATTATCAACAGAGGATGGAATAGAATGAACACACCTATCTAATGGTCTACAATCGCTCAAAGACTAGAATTTTATTTTTATTGTTAAAATTTCTGAATGTTAATTAGTCAATTAATTAGCTCTGTTCTTTGTTATATAAAAAAATTATTGTTACTTAGCAAGATACTGATACTTTATTTGTTTAAAATCTTACTATATAAACTCATGTTCAGTCTTCCATAATTCAAAGGTGAGTAACAATAAATCTTGTAATTTGTTTTTTATTTTAGGATGGCACCAAAGAAGTCTATTCCTCAAAGAAAGAGGCAAAGACCTGAAATTGGGCAAGGTTCACAGCAACATGATGAACCTGTTGAACAACATCAACAATCACAAGCTCAAACTGCTAAAACAGAAATCATATCATTTGATAGATTTAGGTTCAAAACTAGGGCCAAGGCTCAGAGATTTCTTGACTTACAATGTAGGGAATTGCTACCTGAGAGGAACGAATCTTTACAAGAAGGATAATATGAAGAGTTTCTGCAGGAGATTATAAGAAGAAAATGACAATTTTTGGCAAATCTCCCTAACCAAATTCATGAGGTAATTGTCAAAGAATTTTATGCAAATGCATGGCCATTGATCCCACACAAGTCAGACCAGAAGTCTTAGGTTCGTAGACACACTGTTGCTTATTACAGAGATGCAATATCAGCCCTGTTAGGCAACCCTCTGACCTTGGGGGAAGGGGAGCTATGCCAATACCAACAACATCGAGGCTCTTTGTCAGGTTTTTCAGATGACACGGTAGCTAACACCTTATGCATCCCTGGAAAATCCTATGAAACAAATGTAGCGAATAAGCCAATGCGCTTCAAAAGGTAGTCTTTGACTACTTTGGCCCAAATATGGACATCCTTTCTCTTTGCCAACATAGCCCCAACCACACACACCTCAGATGTCCGGATGCCCCGAGCATATCTGATATACAGCATCATGGAGGGGATGTCTGTTGACATAGCAGCCATAATTTCAGATGAGTTGCACCAATTTGTATTGTCCAATACCTCCAGTATTGCATCAACAACAAGACCTTTGGGATTTCCATCACTAATCACTGCTCTGTGTGCTTCCCAAGGTGTTACAATTCCAGACACCTCCAATCAAACAATTACTTTGAAGAAACCAATTAATTATCAGTTCATCAGAAATTATTGCACTAATCCAATGGAACAACCGATAGGAGATTCTTCTCAACCGTCTTCATCTGTACCACCTGCATCATAACCAACACAACCACGAACACGACCATCTATGCTTGAAGCACCACAAACAGATCCAACTCTCATATGTCATCTCACTCATATAGAGCAACAATTAGCAGCAAACAATCATGCTTACACTCACCTAAACGAGTCATTCTACAAGTAAATGTTATCTCCTTTACTATTTTAATTACTCTTGTAATTTTTATTTGACCATTATCCTCATTAACTTCATCATATCTTTCCATAGGTTCACTCTACACCAACATCATGGTCAGGATTTTGCTTTCCCATGGCCCACACCCGAGACTTTTGCAGCAGCCGTATCATGGCCTTGAGATAACCCTACCTTCACATTTCAAGATGAAACTACACAGGATCTAGATCCACAGCCAGAGGAAGGACCCCACGAGGACATTGAGGAAAATGATGGGGGAGATGTACAAAAAGGTCAACAATTACAGGAAGAAGAGGGACATGATGAGGGAGATGAGCCACAAGCAATGCAAGAGGATGACAATGTTAGAGCCACATGATTAGAATTGGGATTTTATTGTAATAGATTTTAATGAGTCAACATTTTGTGTTATGTTATGTAATGAATTTCATTTGTAGTTCTTGAATGCTTAATACTATAGTTCTCGTTAATGAATTTCATTAGTAGTTCTTGATTACTTATTCCTATAGTTCTCATTAATGGGTTTTAATATTTATCACAATTGGTAATTAGAATAATTTTGCAGTATCATTTGCTCTGAATTTTTCTGTTTGTAAATTGAAACTCAGTTGCCTGAAAAATAGTCATCTTGCCAACCATTTTCTGTGTGTTTGTCAACTCCTTTTTGTGTAAGATGTAAGTTTGACGTAATTTATATGTAATCAAGTGTATTTTGGCCCCCTTAATTGCTGTCTGTATTAGGATTAGGTTGGATTTTTTGTACCTTTCGCTTAAGCCATCCAATTTCGCCCAAGCGCCTATATATTTCGCTTAAGCTACAGATATGGGCTTAAGCGATTATATCAGCATGTACAGGTAAATGTAATTTCTGATAAATTCGCTTAAGCTGATAAAAATCGCTTAAGCTAAAAAAATTTAGCTGCATTTGTAAAAGTCTGGCTTAAGCCCTACCACAATTAGCTTAAGCTATTTAAATTTCGCTCAAGCTAATTACGCTGCCTAAAACATGTGCTCTCTGTTTTACATTCGCTTGATAATAATTAAATTCGCTGGTCGTGGCTTGAGCGAGGAGAAAATAGCTTAAGCTATTAACGATTAGCTTAAGCGAAATAGGTGACTGAAAAACATGCCTCTCTGGTCCATTTTCGCTTCAAATATTTCTTTTTTGCTTACGAGGGGCTTAAGCGATTTTAAATTAGCTTAAGCTATTAACGATTAGCTTAAGTGAAATAGGTGACTGAAAAACATGCCTCTCTAGTCCATTTTTGCTTCAAATTTTTCTTTTTCGCTTGGAAGGGCTTAAGCTATTTGGAATTCGTTTAAGCCTGATATGGTCGCTTAAGCAAATTTCGCTTAAAAGTATGTTCTTGCCCGCTTAGGCGCATTTCTGCATGTTTAAGCCCTTTTGTTGGTCACTTAAACAAGTAAAACTCGCTTAAGCGAGAGGAAAACTGCAGCCTGCAGTTCCCGCCAGAACTGCATGCGATCCGGATCCATGTACCACTTAAAGCAAAGCATTGTGGTCGAAGTGTGGATGGAATGTACATAGAACAATTTTGACGGATGGAAATAGAATGGAATGTTATATATATATATATATAAATAAAATAAAGGCTTGATTAAATATTTAGTTTTTGTAAAAGCTGTATAATTTATACTTAGTTCCTGAAAAATATGTTGTTAGGACGTAATCACTATCTCAACGAAACCAGGTTAGTTAAAAGATGAAAAATAATAATTTGTAAAAAGTAAGGATTGAATTTTAACAAAAAAATTATAGAGAATAAATTCAAAATTGTATAACTTTTATATGGACTAAGCACTTAATTAAACTTAAAATAAATGATAACTTTTATTTTTAAAACATTTTACATAGGCCCCTATTGGTACATTATTAAGTGATAATATATTTTTTTAATTGTAAAAATTAAAACCAATAAACATTTTTTGAAAGACCAAAAAAGTGAAATTACATTTGCAAAGACCGAAAACATATTTTACCGTGCACAATTTTAGACACTAAAATTTGAAAGATCACTGGACAATGGCTAGTTCAATGACTAATGTGCTCCGACTAAATTCTTTTAAAAGTTAATTTAACAGTTTCTTTATATAGAAAAAATAGGGAAAATTTTGAAAAAAAAAAAATAGTGTATAAGGGGTAAAAAACAAAATAGAAACCTAATCAACCCCCTAAAATTCGAACCTAACTGCTTCACACTTTGTCCTCCACTAGGAATACAATTGAGGTGATTGTTCCAGTTATGATGGCGACTAAAGAAGGCCTTCGTCCTTCGCATTGGCATTATTTACCTTGTTGGGAGATCTCAAAATACTATAACTAGAAAACATAACTTGCCAAGTAACCTTGTGATCATGATGGTATTGGAATTACTGGAAAATTTTTGTTCAGTCCAAATGATTGCAACTTCTATCTTCGGATAGGTAGGCAAAGCATCATCTATACACTCTAATTTAGAAAAGTGGCAAAAACACCGAGACAAGCTCAAACAACCCTCTTCCAAAATTTCTTCTCTAAAGTACAGAACAGAACAAAAAGACAAAAAAAAAAAAAAAAAGACCTAAGCGTGATTACTGGGAGTAAGAGGGCTACAGAATGTATTTTATAAAATTTTAGGCCATTAATTTGTTTTCATCTGCAAATCTAAAGTCAATACTTTAGCGCCTGCACCACTCACATTATGATATCCAACTCCAAATTACATGAATGACAATCTATCTGATGGCTAAAGTAGGTTTATTGGATTAGTTGGATTAAAAAGATTAGCGAGAAATAAGAAAAAAGTGTTTACTATATAATGAAGTGAACTTGTCGACTTTACTAAATTTAATATGTATGTATTTTCAATTTCGAATTATGTCATGAATTATATGTTGGGTAAATATGCAATTCATCTATTTCACTTTCTTGTATACAATCTACAGACTGAAATAGATCTGATTATTTCATTTTACAACAGCATGGAGTAGAGAGAGATAAAATAAAGGAAAAAGTTGGGTTCTATCCAACCTTTTGCCAGATAGCAAATGTAATGACTGACATTTAATTTATATGTAAAGAAAAAGGAGTAACAATTTATCACAACAATCACTGCCACTTACTTATAGGTCGCCTGATTCACCTGATAATTTAGTTAAATACTAAAATGTTTTGTCCTTTACAGCCAGGGGCTGGTGATTTAAAGAATAAAAGTCTATCAACAAAAGCGATCCACCATATATGGCGAATATATTTCAAAGAATTAAATTACCTTTATAGAAGAAAGTGTTTTTAAATAAAAATGGAGAACAGCAATCAGAGTTCCAATGCTACACAATCCCATGAGTCAATGGAGTGACTTCAAGTGGAATATCTGGCATCTTGGATCATATGAACTCTTTGTTGAAGCCTGTTCAAACTTCTTAGAAGCAGCTTCATTCTCTTCTAAGTTAGTCTGAAGGAAATACCGTACCCACCAGGATGAACTCCTCATCTTGGCCTGAAGCAAGAGGATAAATAAAAGATATAAATGTAGGTGACAATATCTATTGCGTCAAAAAGGTTGAGAGTCTAGGATCAAGGACCTTCTATTCATCCAAGCTCAATGATTGAAATTAAAGCAAACACAAGAACATAGATATAAACATATGATTACTCTTTTTATGCAAAATCCACTCACCGCTCTTCCAAATTTAGAAACATCCGCTATCTTAGCTTTCTGAGTGCTGGGAAAACCTTCATTTATAGATATTATTAGATGTCAGTGACAGGTCCAAAATATTATTGACTATTGCTAAGACAGTCGTTTATGCAACCAGGCAACACAAACAGTATATTCTCAAGCTGAGAACTCGTCAAACTTACTGCAGGAGAAAAATATGATCCTTTTAAGTCAAATAAGAGGCATTTCAGCAGCATAGTTCACATAACTCAACAACCAAGCTTTTGGACTCAACAACAGCTGGGTGGGAAGATAAGCCACATGAATCAATCAACACTATTTAATATTTAGGTCTATCTAAAACAGAACACAGCATTTGAAAAAATATATATAATTCCTATTTTGGGTTTTAAGGAATCTCTATGCACGGAGTACAGACAAAAAAGTAAAATTTATTCATAGATTGGAATCTGCATTAATTACAAGATTCTATAAAAAGCTCTTACCAGTAAATATCACTATACCATCAGTTGCTACCCTCACCAAATCCGGTAGTGTTTTGTTGAGGTATCTGGGAGATAGGTAATCCAGAGCATCTGAAACAACTACAAGAGAAAAAGATTTTGGCCTGTATGGAAGAGGAAACTTGATGTCAGCCACACGCACACTGCCACTACGGATAAGTGCTTTGCAATTGTTATCAGCATCCTCTATATCATATGGTTCTATACCCCAGGCTTCAGTTTCCTCCTCCTTTAGCAATTTAGAGACCACATAGCAAGTATCAGGACCAACATGCAAAACTTTGTGCATGCTATCTCCATATGCTTTCTGTAAAACAGGAATTGCTCTTTGGACCTCTCCACTGCACAAATAATCACCTGCATTTGAAAGTAGTGTACATTATTACAACATATCTGAAAGCCAATTAAATGAAAAGCTAAAGGCTACTTGATAAAAGCCGATGATAGACATACTACTAAGACATGAGTTTTAGGTTATATTTGGATGAAGAAGAAAGAAGGGGAAGAGAAGGTCTAAGTAAACCTACCACTGATTTTAGAGATTCATAACATAAGGGATTAACATGTGATCCTCCAACCCATCCTCACCACCTCCATTTTTATGAGCATTTCAGAGGTCCCACAAACTTTGGAAGATTTTAAATTCAAAACAAAGGGAAAATCAAAACTAAACCTCACATTCTCTTCCTTTTTCTTTCATTTATTCCCTTCCCCTCACCCCCAAACAGCCAAACACTGAACCAACCTATTCAGCTTAGCGCCCAATCCTTCCTTATGGAAAGAAGCCATTACAAATAAACAGGGAAACCGTAAAGATAAGATGCAAACCATTGAAACAACCTGTTTATTACATGGTAGGACAAACATACATCACACTCAATTTATGAGATCAAGAATGTGTCAGCATGTGGGATATTATTCTACTCCTCAATACAAATTAGGAGTGTCTACATTAACTATATGAAGATGATCATGATATCATTGATATGTAATCATGCACAGCCAGCATTCCAACTAGATGTTTCACAGATACAACTAAAAGGATGACAATTGACACAACTCATAACCAAAGTATTACAGACACAATGCCTAGCTAGAATAATAAAAAGGAATTAATATCAAACAATTTTATTTTATTTTTTCCATTTCAGCAATGCACATTCACATATTTCATTTTACATTAAAAAAATCCTATGAAAATGACAGTAGAAAATGCATTTTGAGAAAGAAATATGAAATTCATTAATTGATGGTAGAAATTATTTTGACACAATAAATTCAACAAATTCATCTTGATTGGCATAATAAAATATATAAGCACATATGAAGATGGATCATGATCTTCAAAATTTACATCATCACAAAGAATCATAGCTCGCTGAACCAGAAGGCTGCCCACCACCTCATGAAGAAAGGAAATAAGAGTTATATGAATAAAAGCTTAGCTTTCAATAAAGAGAAACAACTAAACACCTTTCATCTACAAGAATAGTTTAGTAAGTTAAAAATGGGTATTGACCATTTTTTTTTTCCAAAAGAACCAAGTATGACTTATTACGTCACACAATAAATCAGAGATGAAATTTCTTATGTGAAGAAAGTAGCCAGCTAAGTCTTTTGTATGCTCTCGAATCACAGGCATCATTATGATTTGTTCTGAGTTGACATCTTAAAAATTTTATGACTCAAGTACCATAAATAAACCACAAAATGCCTCCAAAGAGGAGAAAGTTTTCATTATGTCTTTATCACATAACAAGCCATCATTCAAGTGCAGACCTCAAACAAGAAACAATCATTCGTGAGTGACAAAGCTCCTGCATCTTCACATATATGACACCAACCTAACAATGTTGTTTAAAATGTAATTGAAATTCATGAAGGGTGTTAATGGACTTCTCTGATAGCGAGAAGTAACCTTAAGTGTTGAATAACTATGAATATTAACAACATTGATTTAAAATTTTCCCTATACGTTCTCATCAATTAAAATGCGTGTGCGCACGCATGAGGCAAACTTATTGCCAAACAACTAAAAGACCACTATAATATTTGAAGACAAATATTGACCACTACCCTTAGGACACTCGTTAAAGAATAAGAACAGGAAATTTTGTACTAAAAAGTGTTATTAATACACCCCAATGGGCATGATTTCCAATAAAAATTGTATATTTATTAATTTCTCAACCAATGTCCTTAAGGCATTAATATCAAAGATCCATAATGTAAATGAATATAGAAATCGAACGGGGAAACAAATCAGAATCCGTAGGGGTAAAAAAACTAAAATTACCTTCAACCCTGCTAACAGAATCTAAACCGCTGCCAAATCCACCTATACAGAAAAGGCCACGTAACATTAATTAGATAAATGTAAGAAATCAAAATTACATCTCAGTAACAAAAGACAAAAAACACTAACACAAACCTGATCCCCTGTACAAATAGCCAATGAGAAACAAACCTCCCTATAAAGTTGCAAAAACCAAATCAATTAGAATTCAGAAGAATCTCCAACAAAGAACACAAACCATTGAATCCATGGCACAACAAAAAAACTCACCACAACTACGAGCGCAACTGACAAAACCGGCGAAGACCTTGATTTCGAAGTGGAAAACAATCCACCCCCGCTGTCCCCGAACCTTCTAAAAGGATTCCCCGTTCTCCTCGACATCACTTTTCTCGATTCAGCTCTCTTCACGAACAGAACCACAAAGAATCGTTATTATAGTAATCTGCAACACAGAGAAGAAGCATGAACAAAGAGAAAATAGCACAATGCTACGCCAAAAACACGTTAGAAAAATCCAAATTACCGGAACACAGTTCTATAGAACTCGCATTGTGCAAATGGTATCAAAGGCTAGATCTGAATTGTGCGCATCACAAATAGAAAGAAGAGAGAGAAACAGAAAAACAGTGACTCGGTTCTGCTAATTTTCCCGTTGCCAAATAAAATAAAAATGGAGTATGGTATGTTCGAGTGTCGGTTGGTACTATCAACGGTGCCCAACCGATGATTAACAATGGGCCAGGGCTTATTGGACATGGGCTACTTGTCGACCCATTAGTGGCCCAATGTTAGAGGCTAAACCTGTTGATATGATGCCACGTCATGTAGAGGTGCTGCGTCAGATTAATAACCGAACCGGATCGAACCGGTTGTGGCAAATTCGATCAGCAGAATAGAAACCTCAAGCGGAGGAAAGAGTAGGAGAAATAAATGCTAATCGGAATTGAGAGAGAAGAAAAGAGTTTCGGAGGAGAGAGAGAGAGAAAGAGAGATGTGTTTGGATTGTGGAATAATTGGTTAACGGAATCATTGAATGAGAAATTGAGTTTGATTTAGAAATGAAGGAAGACGGAGGTGATCGGAACGAAGAGAAAGCACATGATATCAAGCTTTGGGGAGTTTTCCTCTTCGGCTTGATTAGCGCCACCGTTATCACCTTCTCTGTGAGTTCTTTGTATTCTTGGGGTTTTTCACCTTCAATTTCATTTTAGAGTGTCCTTCAAATCATCTGCGATTATGTTCCTTGTTTTTATTTTTTATTTGTTATTTTACTTTTATTTCTCTCTTTTGAGCGATCTTAGGGTTTGCATGATCAATTTTATTCTCGATTGCCATTTTGTAATCGTATTGTCATTTTTTTTACAATCCAATAATTCTCGTTCTCCTACAGCACGTTTTTTTTGTTGCTTGTTTCCGTCATGGGGTGAAGCAGTGATTGAATGAGTGATTCACTAAAATCGCTTATTCCTGATGGCAAATTTATTATTATTGTTAGTTGTAATCTTAATATTCTATGAACTACAACTATACAAGAATGATGTGCACAGAAATCACAATGAAACTGATGGTGCATGTTATTATTGAACTCTTTGTAGATGTCCAGATCGCAGTCTTCGTGGAAAGGAGGGAGTGGAAGTTCTTTCCGATCAGCTTTTCAAGAAGAAGCATGGAAGAGGTACAATAAGCGATTACAAGAGGAGTACGAGGAGGAGATGGAGAGAGTGGTGAGCTTTTTAGTATCATGTACTTCAATATACTGTGACTGAATCGTGGTATTTTATGATGAAAACCATTTTACTAAAATATTCGTTTATTATAGTAAGCCTAGCTAAGTCACGAAGAAATGTGATTTTTTGCTTGCTTAGATGTTTAATTGGTTTTTTAATGCTAAGCAGTTTGTCTTGAGACTTGAGTTTGGGTTGCTTTTTGTAGGAACGAATAAGGCGGATGCAAAGTGTGTTTAATAGAGAAAGGGATAAGTATAGAAGAAGCTATGAGAGCTGGACGGAAAATGGTCACGGTGCATATCAACAGAATTTCCAAAGAGATGATTGGTATTGGAAGGCCGAAGCATCCTTCAGAGAGCACTGGGCCAATTATCAACACACTCCAAGACAGAGTGGAAACTATTCCTTATCACATCACTACTCTGTTTTGGGTCTTGACAGGTACTTACTTAAAAGAGGAGTGGTAGGAACCACTCTCTAATACACTCTTTTTAACATATTCCTAGGTTTTGGCTAAATTTGGTTGAAAATACAAAAGTATGAGAGAGAATCATTAAATTAGTAGTGAAAAAGAGTGAGATTCACATAATTTTTGTAATTTTCAATTAATTTTAACCAATAACTATAAATGAGTTAGAAAATGTGTTGGTAACATTTCTCTACATATAAATATCATATGTTATTTTGTCAGGTGGCTTGTATCAGCAGTAGATATATCAGGAAGTGATAGGTACTAGATTGAAAGAATAGGAAGAAAGAGCCAATCCCCTTACAACCAGAAGGTATTCTGAAATTCTTGGAAATTAAAAAGAAGCAACAAACAAAAATATCAGAGGAAAATCAAGAGACCCTCTAGAGAATCCCAGCCTTAGGAACAGCACTACAGATACCACCCTCTACAATATACTCCCTCTTTTTGCTGTTGTGACCCCATTTATCACATAGCACCCATTCTTTTAGGATCGCTGCTTTCTCTTTGTCACAGCATCTCATTATATTCATCTTTCCCTCTCTGAATCCTAATTAACTCCACTTTTGGCCCATTACTTATCACCTTGCTGTCACTTTCTAGAATAAACATGAGATATGAGCGTAACATAATGCTGTAATAATTGAAGATTATATTCCATAGTTTCATTTATATATTGAAATTCAAAATGATTTAACTTTGATCTTATTTACACAATCAGCACTTGTTTGAAAGTTTGTTAAACACTTGTTTGAAAATTTGTTAAAAGCTTCTATACATGTGAGACCTTAGTTCCTACAATGATCTGGCACTTTCTTGTTTACTTGTTTATCAGAATTAGACTCTCTAATTTTCTGTATTTTAATATATAATTCTTAAGGTAAAATAGTTTTCATGTTTTATATTAAAGTCACGTATAGCATTTAGTGTTAGACGTTTAATCTTTTCCTTTATAATATCAGATACAGGCTTGTATAAAATGTGATTTTGATAGAAAACACTCTACTTACGTATTGATTGTCTATTAGGGAGCACAAGCTAGCGCAATTCATATTGTTAAAGAGAAGCGTTAACAACACTCTCTAATATACTCTCAATTATTGGCTCAAATTTATTAGAAACTATGGAAGTATGAGTAAGAATTATTAAATTAGGAGTGAGAATCATTAAATTAAGAGTAGGACCCACATTTTTTTTTTGTAGTTTTTAATGTTAGCATTTCTCATTGTTAAAATATGAAAACCATGTTGAGAGGAAGGAAATGTCTCGCAACAAGAATATTTGAAGTAAAGCTATCATATGATACATCTGGAGGGTCAGTAATGAGGTATCCTATTTTAAGCAGTATGTGATTATGACCCAATAAAAACGTATGTGATTATGGTATCTGTTGATACTTGATGGCTGACAGACCATTATTTGTGAATAAAAAACCATGCATGCATCGTGTATCATTCACCTAAGAAGTTAGCAATAGCGTGCTTGTTTTGCATTTGTGATTAACTATTAAACGTTCCTTTTTTTATGGATCTCAGGTTTAGGACAACGCCATATACAGATGCTGAGATTAAGGTAATTTCTCTTTTTATTATAATCGCTTTGCACATTACTGAATGCTTTATTAGCAATATGTATTGCATATGCATTGATAAAGAGAGTGATTTATGAACTATGGTGATAGTATTTTATCTATTTTTCTTATCCATGTTTCCAATATAAGAATGCCTGTTTGACAGATTGATAGGATTTGATGGATGATAGCTTTAGCACCATTTTTATTTCTTAAACAACTAGTTTCTGTATCATGATGTTGGGAATTAGTAAAATCGTGTGAAAAAAATTGCATGTACAACATTTTAACTATTTTGAATGACCTCCCTATTGAGAGTCTGCTCTATTTTTCATTCACATAGTACGGTGATCAATCTAGCAAATCCTATGATAGGGTGCCAGAATTCCTTCAGAAGTTTCTATAGAATAAAGGAGTTTGTATCCCTCATATTCAAACTATAGATGTTTATGTATGATGGGGCAGCAAGTAATCCATAAACTCCTGATAGTATAAGACTTTCTAATTTCTATAACAATATATTATTTGCAGCAAGAATCTACTTTCAGTTCCAACTTTTATACCTTGATTTTCAACATAATATGCCTAAATCATTGTTTTTTTTGTTATCTGTATTGGTTTATTAGGTGATTTTCTTCATTTTATATTTGTTTATCTTTTTTTTTTATCATAGACAGCATTTAGGACCAAGGCAAAGCAGTATCATCCTGACCAGAACCAAGATAATAGAGGTAGGCTTTTGCAAGTTATTATAAAGATCTTTTTTTCTTGAATCATCGCATTGCTGATTTTTAGAGTGTGAAAATGATGACAGAGGCTGCTGAGGCTAAGTTCAAAGAAGTAATTTGTTCATATGAGGCCATACAAAAGGAAAGAAAGAACCAGAATCTGTAATTGCCCAACTCTGCCCGACAATCCTGGAACCTTGAAGGATGCGAGGTATTCAAAACAATCATCAAAGTTTCTCTTTGACTTCATTGAATTTTCATTCGCTAAAATATGATTCTGCTGCTAGTAAATTTTAGGCAATCATCACATGATAATGCTGGCGACGTGCTGTATTATAAAACTGCTAACCTTGGACGCGTTGAAAAAAATTTTCTTGGAACTCTATAGAACGGATACATATTTGATTAGTAAGTATTGTAACCAGTCGTCCATGGCCTCTACAAATATGGTTTAAGTAGGGTGATTATGTTTACACAATTATTCATTTCTTGGACACTGTTGGGACCTCTCGGGGGAATTCTTCTATAAACTTGCTATACACAACTATACTAGGCTAACTTTTTAATATATAGAAAGGAGCAGAAACGCCAAAACACAAACTTAGGAGCTAGGCGTGTAACCCAACCGCCACCGTCTTGCCACACCAAAATCTTTTTTTTAGTTTAGGAGCAAATAGACACGAAGTAATTTTCACACTTTCTCTGTCAGCTCCTAGATACGACTGAACGCACTTAATCATTTTCCGAACGATCCAGATATGTTAAACCTCCCATATTTTGAAATGAAAAGATAATTTACCCATTAAATAAGGTTAAGTATGAGAAATTATTTACATAAATTTGCTGTTATGAGTGTTAAAATCTATGCTATAGCACATAATTCTATCGATACACAGTATATTATTATATTTTATAATTAGAATTTAAAATATTTGTAATTAAGTTAAATAATACAATTTGTAATGTTTTACAATTAGGAATTGGATTTTTTTTTAATATGGGTGTAGTACACTATTAAATATTTTGAGTAATGCTCTTTTTTAAGTTTTTTTTGTTGATGTTAATACTATAATAGCATTCATATTTACTCGTTGTGAAACAAGCACATTATACGAGATCATATTCACGTAAACTAAAATATGGGTACAAATTTAGATGTGGGTATATCCAGCGGTAAGGGTATGAGTATTGAAATTATTACCGGCACAGGTAATGCTATGTTGTAGTTGTTAGTGCAATTTATCAATTAAAATTATATTTTTAATAAAATATTTAATAATTTAATGTTATTACAGATTATTGAAATAAAGTTATAAATTTAATTGATAAAGAGCACCAACAATAATTAAACAAATGTACTTAAGTTTTGTCTTATTATTGTAATACTTTGTATATCCTCTAATCTTTAAGACATTAGATGAATCACAACTATTCATCTAGAAAGGGTATCGAATATCTTCTTGAGATTAAGGGTAACATAGCAAGCATTTAAAACTTATCTTTCGTCGTTACTAAGAAAAGTACTCCTCATCTCCTATTTTTCTCTTTTCTCACGCATAATTAATCTGCATAAACACTAAGTTTTGGCAACGCTTCAAAAATTAAGTCACCCATAGCAACTCCATGCGAACCATAACTCCCAATAAAATCCACGTAAGCTATGAAAACTATTACTAAGTTCCAAAAATTATTTCTAAAAATCAAATTGCAAGTCCAACAATCCCTTACTTTACCAAATTATCATTAGTCCCAAGACTTTAAACTACCACTACCATTAGAACTCAATCAAGCATGTGCCGATCACCATCACCGACAAATTTGCCACAATCTTGTGATTCTGTCCAGAAATGTCACTCTCGATCACAATATAAATTACATGATCCCATTCATCAATAGATTTGATAGTGGAGGCACCATTGATATCAATAGGGTTTACATGAATAAAAGAGGAAAAGGGAGAAGAACTTGTGGTTAGTTTGTAAAGTGAAGAGTAAATAAATTGTAAAGTTGGGTTCATTAGTCAAGTTGTAAAAATGGAATTTGCTACCCCAACTGTTGGCTTTATTGTATTTTTATCCTATCATACCCAATGACATGAGTCATTATGAATTTTTCTTATTGGCTTTGATAGGGATGGAAATTACTTTGACTTTAGGGATAGATTTGTTAATGTAGGAATATTCTATAATTATTATTTCCTATTATATCTAGACATCAATATATTTATGGTATATAATTATATTTCTAATTTAGATTAGACAGTTAGGAAATAGAATATTTTATGGTTAATTTTTGTAAATGACTTTGTATTATTTATTTTGGAGAATGGAATGAAAAAGGCATCGAAGGCAAAATTAATTGACATTATATCATGAGTCACTTGCTCCATATTGTAATTGTTTCAATGACATTTTTGTCAGCTGCTCTTGTTTTTGGTTTGTGCGTGTGATTTCGCTCGTCCCTGATTCTGGTTCTATGACACAACTTGCTCTAGTTTCTGGTTCGTGTCCCAATTTCTAGTTTGTGTTTGTGACTCTGCTTGCTCTTGGTTCGCTGCTCGCTCTTGATTTGTGACTTTTCTTGCCCCTGTTTGTGAGTTTGGTTTTAGTGTTCCAATTGTTGGTTCGCCATATTCTTCCTCTTGCAATTATTCATTTCTCAATATCGGATACATGGCTATGGGAAATTTTTGTGTTCGCTTCAACAACAAGAACTACACTACTTGGGAATTTCTGTTTGAAATGTTTGTAAAAGGGAAAGGGATATGGGGACATGTTGATGGTTCTTCTGCAGCCCTAAGGTAGCCCAATTTTTTACCAAAATTAAAACTGTATGCATTGATTTTGGCGGGGAGTATCTTTCTCATGAATTTCAAGAGTACTTGCAACATGGCATCATTTTTCAATGCTCATGCCCCTATACACCTCAACCAAATGGCGTTGCAGAACGAAAACAAAGCATCATTTGCTTTATTTCACACGGTCCTTACTCTCTGAAGCCTCTATTCCACTTAAATTCTGGGATGAAGCCTTATCAACAACTGCCTTTTTGATTAATTGTCTTCCTTCTCAGGTTATTGGGCTTGAGTCTCCTTTCTTTTATTTGTTTCATTCTCATCCTGATTATCATGATTTTCATCCATTTGGTTGTGTTTATTTTGTCTATTTACCTCCTCCTGGCATAATCTGTCTAGTGTGTGTTTTTTTAGGTTATAGTATCACTCACATGGGATTCTTGTGTTATGATGAAACAACTTCTTGTATTCGTATTCTTCATAGTGTAGTTTTTTTTTTTCAATCATCAATATTATTTTCAAAGTCCTTCCTTAGCCTTTAATGGTTTTGTTGCTCTTCCTCAATTTTCTAAAGTCTCTCATCTTATAGAATGCTTCAAACTAGGTCATGTGTATGTCAAACATTGGCCTGCACCACCCCTTTCTGGTGTTGCTCCGCCATCTGAACCTATCTTATTATCACAATGTCAATCAAGACAAGTCATCCATCCGTTGGATACGTATGAATTTGGATCTATATTTCTTGTTGCTACTTTATCTAACACATCTATTCCTACATGTTACTCACAGGCAATTAAGGATGCTCGTTGGGCGATGACAATGCAAGAGGAGTTCCAAGCACTTCAAGAGAATTTCACATGAGACATTGTTTCTTGCCCACCTAATGTGAAGCCCATTAGTTGCAAGTGGATGTGTTCTGTGAAATTGAATTCTGATGGCGATCTTAATTGTTACAAGGCTCAGTTGGTTGCTTTGGGTAACAAACAACAGTATGGAGTGAATTATGATGAGATATTTGCCCTCGTAGTAAATATGACTACCATTAGAACAATCCTTTCTCTTGGTGTCTCTTAACAATGGCAACTTCACTAAATAGATGTGAAGAATATCTTCCTTCATGGTGATTTGATTGAAGATATTTATGAGTCCTCTTCAAGACTTGTTTTCTTCCTCTTCCTCTACCAATGTATGCAAGTTTAAACGCTTTTTATATAGTCTACGACAGGCTCCTCGAGCATGGTTCAAAAAGTTTTGATCCACTCTTCTTGGATTCTCCTTTGCTCATAGTGAATAAAATTCTTCCTTATTCATTCATCATATAGAAATTGGTTTTTTTTTTTTTTTCTCATTTATGTTGACAATATGGTCATTAGCGGTTCTAATAATGCATCCATCCAACATCTTAAAGAGCAGCTTAACGCCTCCTTTCATATGAAAGACTTCGATAATCTTCACTACTTCTTGGGTCTTAAGGTTTATAGGAATTGCAAAGGTATTTTTCACCATAAATATACTGAAAATTTATTTTTTTTTAGCAACTTTCACTCTACTACCTCAATAGATACTCCTCTCAAGGTTAATGTGAAATATTATTGTGATAATGGTAATCTTTTATCTAATCCTTTACTATATTGATAATTGGTGAGTAGCCTCAGTTACTTGACTATCACTCGCTTGGCATAGCATCTCCAGTGCAAGAAGTGAGCCAATTTAATTGTGTCCTAATATTCTGTGATTCATCATTGGATTGCGTATGTTTCTTGGGCCTGCGCTAATTTCTTGGAAAGGTAAAAAAAATCTCTTAAGTCCTCTACTGAATCTGAGTATCATGTCATGTCTATGGTTTATTCAGAAATTATTTAGCTTTATAAACTTTTAGTTGAGCTTCGGTTCCCTCATAAAGATACAACGCCTCTTCGTGGTGACAACACCAGTGATATTCACATTGTTGTCAATAGAGTTTTTCACAAGCATCCTAAACATATTGAAGTGAATTGTCGAGATTTTGAATAATCATATTATCTCTTTTTTTTATGTTACTTCACAACTTCAACTATTAAATATCTTTATTAAAACAGTTTCTCGCCCATAACATTAATTTCTTATGAGCAAATTGATACTTCCTGACAAACTCTATCAATTTGAGGGAGCATTCATGTAAAAATATTCTGTAATTATTATTTTTTATTATACATTGTATTTAGACATTAATTTATTATGGTGTATAATTATATTTTTAATTTAAATTAGACATTTAGGAAATAGAATATTCCATAATTAGTTGTTATAAATGACCTTGTATTATTTATTTAGGAGAATGAAACGAAAGAGACATCAAAGCCAAAATTAATTGACAAGATTTGTTGGCTAATTTAAAAGACCATGCAATATAGTAAATCTTTAAACAAGTTTTGAGATTTGATCAGATTTATAAAAGACTAGGGTCTAGTTTGAGTAAATATTTAGATAAGTTAAGTTTTTATAGGAGAAAAAAATTAGTATAATTTTTTTGAAGTTAGAAGTAATTTTTATTTTTTTTATTGTTTTTAAAGCTCTCATTTAATTTTTTAAAATTTAAAAGAAATAAGTAACTTTTAATTTATGAAAAAACAAACTAGTTTTTTTATCCTATTTTTTTTCTTACAAAGAAGTTTATCCAAATTGAGTTTAAGTCAAGTTATATATATATATATATATATATATATATATATATATATATATATATATATATATATATATATATATAATTTAGTTAAACAAGGCATGCTTAAGTCTTAATTTTTTTCAAAACAAAAACAATAGACCTCTGAACGGTAAAACTTTACCTGAAATATTTCATTCCTAAGTTTAGATATTTATTGAAATAAATTAAAAGAACTTGTGGGAACTGAGAGATATTTTAATAAACTCTTAAATACATTCTAATGGCTTTCACATAAGCAAATATGCCTAAAAGTTTAAATAGGTCAATTGAGTATATGATCATAAATTATTTCTATAAAAAGATTAATGCAATAGTTTTCATTTTTATTATTATTGATTAACTTATTTATGCTAAAGAAATTTTGAATGATCAAACTGACTTTTTTATTAACTAATTTAATATATATATGAGAAAAAAATCTTTTTGTAAGTCTAAAAACTCTTACACTCAATCTAAATTTTTCGTTTAACTTAAATTTAACAGCCAGTAAAATAATAAATTGTAACCTAAGATAGAAGTTAAATAAAATGCTCAAATTGAGTGTAAGAATTTTTAAACTTATATCGATATAAGAAGAAGTCTAACTTAAGCTTGATGCGAGTTAAATCATTGGACTTTTGTCAAGTTAGCTAAACTATTTTCATTCTCGTTATACCTAACATCATTAAAGATCAGATCAATCTAAAACTAGAAAATATGTTAAAATTTGAACACTTTACATAGTTAAGTTATAAATTTTTTAAATTAAAAACTAAAATAAGACATTTTATTACATATTATCTGAATAAACTTTATTAATGTAAAACTATTATGATATTCATTACGTGTTATATTAAATAACTAAGTTTTATCATTTATTCCTAATTTACAAGAAACTGTTTTCGAATAATATATGTAACTATGGGTCAAGAGCAACTTAAAAACTCAAAACTTGACTAAAAAATTTTAGTATATTTAATTTTTAAAACTGTAAGAATATGTTTGAAAAAGAGTTTTTAAAGAAAAAACGGAGGAGATGACATATTTTTTAACTTTAAATTAAAAAAATTATATATTATTTATGATAAAAATATATATTAATATATCAATTTATATCTTTTTATTTTAAAAAATATTAATTTTAAATATATTTGTATTAAAAATATAAATTTTATTCTTCCTTTAAATAACTAAAGAAATTCGACTTACAATTGTTTATGATTCTTTGAGCACTTCTAGTTTAATTCTTAACCATACTTAAACAATTGAACTAACTAAAGAAATCTGACAGTGCCTGTAAGTATAATCAATCAAAATTTACCATACTACCACAATAACTTTAATATCAACTTTATTATCATTTATAATTATGTTAATACATATTACATTTATTTTATTAGTTGAGTTTATAGCCCGGCACTAATGCAAAAATTACTCAAAAAGTTGAATATACATGCATTGATAATGGACAAGCACTTCCCTTACTTTTCTTATAAGACTTGTCTAGGTGTTAATAATTCAATTTTTATTTTTTTTTAAAACAAGGAAGAAATTTAAATTTTTGGCAAGCTGCATCTTTAAAAATATACCTAAAAACATTCAGAATTGGTAAAAACATTAATAAGACAAGCAGTTGGCAGTTTTGACCCTAGGACCTTTCCGAACAGCATTTGGCTTATATATGATTTTACAATGACAATTAAAATCAAACTCACTTGTTTAAATGCTTTACATAATTTTGCTGAGAGTTATTAAGATCATGGACTTGATTTCTGGTATAGGGACTAGGGAGAAAGATAGAGATCATAAATGCACTTCTAGCATTGTACTACACACTACAAAGAATACACACTACGAAGCCAAAATGTTTTTACAGATCTACGAGCATCACCTTCCCTCAAATGGAGTATGTGACACAACTAGCGCATCTTGAGAGCACCTTGATTTTTCTGAACGCATTCACTGAAACTCACTTTTCTTCAACCGGAGGAGTTCTGTAATAAGCTGGGACAGTTGCAGGGAAAAACATCTGACGAATCCCCTCCGCCTTAATTATGGGGAAGATTATTGCAGATGCACTCTACAAAAGAAAAGATGGGTTTTTCGTAGTTAATTTCCCTCCTATTTATTCAGGGCAAAAAAAGATTAATTAAAAATAATAGAATAGTACTTACAGAGATTAATCTGGCTCCAATCCACAGTCGATTAGGTGAAGGAAATGGAAATAATAAACGGCCAACACCATATATTGCAACAGCAAAGAAATGGAGAACCAAGCTCAAGGGGCGAGGGTTTAATCCAGAAAGTAATGAAACTGGTCCTTCCGAGAATAGGCCTCCAAGGCTCAGATAATCAAAGCAAGCTTGGCGCATTTCCTTCCTTGCCAGATCTGGGGATGCACAAAAAACCTTGTAAAGTGCTCCAGCCAACGTATTTATAGTGGATGCCACAGGCTGCAATTTGAAAGAGTGACATTAGCTTTATATGCTTTAATGGGTTAAGTTCTGCTCCATCTTAAAAATTAGATAATAGACCAAGCTAGCATTACCTTACGCAAGGTATAAAACGATTCAAGGTATTTACATAGTGTGGATGAATCATTCAGGTCACGCAAAGGCCTGAGAAGATTTCTCAGCACCACAATATCAGACAATGCTACAGTCATGCCACCCCCTGTTAGTGGATGCCGCATGTTGAATGCATCTCCCATCAGAAGGGCTCCAGGAGTAGGAAGAGGATCTGCAGGCATGCTTCTGTTTGGCATTGTCCTTATGCTGCCTTTGTCCACTGCAGCGATGAAGGCATTATAAATCTCGGGAGGAACCTGCAACAATTTGCCACTTCATCATCATCTAACGGACCAATAAATGTGAATGTGAACAAGATTCTGCACTGAATGAAAGAAGGGTAATCGCATGCCAAGGTTAAAAAAGAATTTACAGTACTTAGAGCATAAATGGGTACCTGTGGAGCCACCGTTGTCTTCAAATATTTTTCCATTTCACCATTTGAAATAGAAGGAACCTTCTGACCAGGGACATCAACCAGACAGCGAACCTCTGTACTACTTATAGGATAGAACAGAATTGGCGAAGGATCTCCCAGTATGACGTGGCCATGATTTGCACATGGAAGTTCACAGTTCTCTAAAACTAAACCAACAAAACATGAGGGAATATCTACCTGCAAATGGAGCATTGCAAAATATTATTAATTCAGAATTTGACAGAACGTTCCTTCCTACAATCACTCTGAAGAAGTTGACTGATTGTCCCTTAGGATTAAAGCAAAAAATAATAATAATTTGGTATGGTTGTTGGTTAGATTATGGGAAGAAGTTGACTGATTTGACAGTGCAAACTCTGTCACAGAATTAAGCTGAAAGGAATTCTCACCTTAGGATTACAAAGAGAACGACGTAAGTTTGAGAAACAGCCATCACAAACAATGGTAAGAGGAGCATATGCTGTGAATTCCTGACCATCTTTGGTCTTGTATTGCACTCCTCTAATTGTCCCTCTCTCTTCAACTAGAGAAGTTACTGTTCCTTGCTCCAATCGTACACTGCGAAATATTTAAAAAGAAAAAAGAAAATACCTTTAGATCAATAGAATAACGAAAATAACATTTACAATTCTATATTATTTTTTATTGTATTATAAGAATTTATATCAATTGGTTGTCCGTATGATGAAGATATGATCAAATACTAGGATACAGAAGCTAATAGCATAACTACTTCCTATTGGTTCAAGTAACATGATTAAAATATCCAAACAAATAAACTCAAATGGGTTTCATCATCCATGCAATCCCTAATCTCTTATCGCTTTCTTATATATAATAAACTAGAACTAGTAAGGGAAGGATATACAAGCAAATACTATAAATCCACAAAGTAATAAATCAATACTTGGGAAGGGAGGCAGCCTTCTCCCGCATCCTCTGAATAAAGCGCCCATTGTGAAAGCTTCTGCCAGCAACATCTGAGTGAAACTTCTCAAGGGGGTAAGAGAGACGAGTATGTTTCCCATCCTTGAAAAGAGCATAACCAAACACTTGCTGGGCATCAATTTTCTCCACACAATCTGCAGTGAAACATGAGACGGATCATTTGTCATGGATCCATGATCAGCCACAATCTAGAACTACAATAAACCGTTTCCACATAGTTAATATTTACAATACCTTCAAGTCCCAGCTCAATTAATTTGAGATAGCCCCCAGGTTGTAGCAACTCTCCCACAATTCGGTCAGGCTCACTCAGATCTCTTTCAATGACATGTACTCGTCGCCCATCCTACATAACACATAATATTTATTAAGTCAACACTCATCTTCTTGAGCAGAAAACAGTACTCAACCTACCACAAAATTCGTAATAGTCAGAAAAGATATGTATGTCCTGAATTTCACTGATCAAGAACATAACACAACACAACACAAACAAAACATGTTACTGACAATATAAATAAATGATCAACCTAGGAAAGATGAGTGCTGACTGCTGAATAACCGAAATAAAGATCCATCCTCATATGTGATCTTATAGCAGACAGTATATCTAAAAAGTATGACAATAGAACCAAACCAAGAATCTAAAGAATGTTAAACAGAATTGTCAGTAACATGCAATAAAGTAAAAAACCATAATCCCATGAGATTTCGAATTGCAAAAACAAGTAAACTGCCCCTAAATTAACACATATTCAACTGAAAACTAAGTATTTATAGCTTCCCACAAGAACATATCATCATCATATTCATACGCATGGAAATATTAGACTCCACCTTGATATATTAAACGAAATAAAATTTCACACTTCAATTTTCAAAACTAAAAAAAAAAAAAAAAGTGCAAAATTTTCAAAACGTTCAATTCCATATCCACGCCACAACCATGTGATCGCCGTCAACAACGAATAGTATATCTAATGTCGTCATTTTCATTCGACAGCTTTATTTCCATTGGTGAAACATACTTTTCATAACCTTTCCTCTCTCAAATACATTCAAAATTTCCAACACATGAAGAATTGCAACAACGAATAATTTTCGCTAATAACCGCGAATCTCCTCGTAATTTCGAAAAGCTCAAACAGATAAAACCAAAGCCATAATTAATTATTCATAACATCGAGAATCACATGCAAGACGAATGCATCAACAACAAAACAAGCCGTTAAATAAAAAAATACCTTGCCGAGAGTGTGAGCCAAAGCGGCGCCAGCGACGCCAGCTCCGACAATGATGACGTCAGCATCACCGTTGCTATTCGCCGATCTGCATTCTCCGGCAACGGTGGTGACGCTCTCCGACAATTCAATCCTCTTTTCCGGCGACGCGCGAGTGCTCTTTCCGGCAAAAACCAAACTGTAGAGAGCGAATAGACTCAGAACGGAGCACAGAATCCAACCGAACACGTAGGGATCCACCATTTTGGAATGGAATCGGAGAAAGAGAAGGTGTTGGCTCTCTCTCTAGTTTCTCTCTCTGCCTCGCTAGCAGAGGAATTTGGAATGGGTTCAGTTGCTGTAAATGAAGTTGAAGGAGAGGGTTCGCCTTTTATAGGACATGCGAAACGCGAGTCTCATCGTTTACGACGATCACGGGGGCATCACATTACATTAGCTGTATCTGAACAACACTACAAAAAAAACAACAAAAAAATACGCAGAGTTTTGCTAACCAATACAAGTTTTTAACTCATAAGCCAAAGGTTTAACCAAACAAATAACTAATTAAAAATTACTTTTAAAAGAATTAAAAAATCATTTTTAATACAAATTTTTGTTTGTGGAATATTGTGATATGCTAATTATCTAGGTTCGGCAGAAGCATATGTTAAATCGCTTGTCCACATAGCTTATAGAGTAGATTGAAGCTAAGTTAGGTTAGGGTTATATATTAATAGGTTAAAATAATGCTCTAAAAGTATTTAATTAAAAAATAATTTTAAATATTTCACAACTTATTTTAAGTTTAACACATGTATTTTATTGAAAACTCAAGTTAATTAATTTGTGTATAAATTTACACCTACTAATCTATTTGATATATTAATTTTTTATTATTTGAAAATTTTATAATAAAGTAGACTTTAAAAAAGTAATTCAAATATAAAAAAATAGTTGATATGAAACAAATAGGTCAAATTTAAAAATTAAATTTAAGAGTTATTTAAATCTCTAATCTTATAGAACTAAACTCAACTTCACTTGTTTTTTTTATATATATATAATTTTTTAATTTTCTATTAGACCATCAAGAGACTTCTTTTGCTATATTATTGTCTTAAAGTACGAGTTAATATTTATTAAATTTAAAATACATCATAAATAAAAATAAAAATACTAATTAATATCTCTATGATACTGATAAAATATAAAAAAAATATTATTAGTATATTTCTGTTATTTTATAACTTTTAATTAATTATTAGAAAAAAAAAATAGTTTCCCGCTAATTTGCGCTGTTGCGTGAGCATGGGACGACGGACGACTATTCTCGCGTGCTTTGACTACTTTCCTCCATATTTAGTCTCAGAATGAACATTGTAATTCGTCGCTGACGTAAGCTGACAAGGAATTGAGAGCTGGAAATTTTAGTGATGACTAAGTTGTTATTTAATTTACATTTTTGCAAAGACATAATCTGCCAAGTTACAAGATAGAGATGTGAAATTACGTAATGGAGGAACCAAAGCCATCTTAATTAAGTTGGATTTTGTTTGGGATGAAATTTATTGAGTTAAAATTTAGATATTTATTCTGGCAATAAAATATTAATCATGTATTTTATTGCTAAATAAAGTTTTATGATAAATTCATTGTACTACTCAAAAATAAATTTTATTAACAATATTAACATTTTTTAAATAATAAACAATTTCTATTTTTATGTATTAGATGTGAGTAATTATTATTAAATGAAGACTTTTTTTATTGAAACGATTTTAAAGAGTTTTTTAAAAATTATCATTCTCTTTGTTATGTTTGGTATTTTTTTTATATCAAGTATTTAAATTTTGAATTTTATATTTTAAAATTTATTTTATTTAATATAATAAAATATTTATATTTAAAAAATATTAAATTTAAAATAAGTATATAATACATTTTTATTTTATTAAAAAATTATTAATGGTAATAATATAGGAAAAAAACTCATTAATTAAAAGTATGCTATAGCACTTTTATATTCAGACACCATAAATTTGACTTTGATTATTGGTCCATCAATACCAGCGTAGAAAGAAACAATTACATAAGGTGGAAACCGTTGGTTTGACTTGGATTTTCTTCGTAGCATTTCGTTGTCAATGATGAAAATTTGGCAAATAGTGGGGTAGAATCTTCACTTATGCTTGACTTACATTAAGTTTAAATTAAATTAAATTTATCTATTAAAACAGTTAACATATTTAAAAAAATTATTTAATTACAACTTTCTATATACGGGAAGGAAGCATGTTGGCAGAGGAATAAATTTGCTAATTATCTGTCTAAGCTAGCAATTTTTTTTAAAAAAAGTAACTAATATAAAAATACTAAAAATTACTTTTACTAATACTTTTACCTTTATAAAAGTATTGATAAAAATCCCTTTAACAAGAAGCAGTGCATTGGTTGTATTTACACAAAAATCAGAATCAACCCGCATTATTAATTTGGTGTTAAAAACTATACTGGTTTTTGAAAAAAGAAAATCAGTTTAGTTTTATTAATTACATATTTTGGAATTTATAAATTAATTTATTCTTGAATAAATTTTTAATGGAATAAAACTAACATTCTACACAAAGTCATAAACACCACGATGAGTCAATGATCTTATTTTGACACAGAATTTTTCATATTGTTGCAATTTTTCATACTGGAAATTGCCCTAGTAAGAACCATAAGTCTTGACTTTATAAAAGGACACTAATCAAAGACTTTTAAATATTCACATCTCATTGTCTTCTTGAACTTGTGTAGCCCGTTGATAATAAAAAATATAAACACACCTTATATAAATTATATTAAAACATTTACAAACTTAAGCATTAAAGAATATGATTATAATTAGCTGAACAAATGAAATCTAATTGCAGCAAGAAAAAAAAAAAACATTTTATCAATCATTCGTTAAAAAAGAATAACATCCAATATATAAAGTGAGAAAAAAAAAGTTAGATCCATTAATATCCACTTTCAAATTTTAATATTTATATTACTTAATAACTGTTTTTTATAAAATATAAAATTAACTAATTTAATCATTATTTTAAAAGTAAATTAATTTTATAAGATTTTATAAAAAATAAAATAATAAATATTTTATCATATTACATTATCTTAACATGTAATATATTTTTAAAATATAAAAAATATTAAAATTTAAATAATATACTCATAAATATTGAAATTATATGAAATTTGATATATATGATTACGATGATTCAGCACATTGTACATGAACATATATTTAATTGAAATCTTAATTTATAAACCTTAACTATAGAAGATAAACAAATAATTAGATGCAATAATAATTTACAATAAATTTTTTATATTATTGATTACTTATATTGTATTTTATATTATTAAATATTTTTTATTTATATTTACATATTTAATGAAATTATTTTTTTAAATTAAACTATTTATTTAGCACAGAAAAATTCATTTCATATTAATTTAATAAAAGAAACATAAAATATTCAATAAGAAAAAAAATAAAAATTCAATAAACATAAAAATGAAATAAATAAAATTTAATATGATTCAATAAAATAATAGATTAAAAATTAAAGTATTAGAAAAAAATTATATAACACTTTTAATGAAAAAAATTAATAATGTGTATAAGTTATCTCTATGTTTTTAGGTAATTAATTGTTGAGAAATATATACATGTTGGTATTTATTATTAGATAGAATAATAAGTAAATGAAAGAAAAGAAAAGAAAATATAATTAATTATATTAAAAAATAATAAATATAAAAGTAAGTAAACTACAAACGTGAAGTATCAAAATTCTTGTAATTGTGAATGTACTTTAACTACATCTAAGGAAATGATGAAGAAAATATAAAATAGGGGATTGCACTTGATCCATATATTGACCAAATTAATTTACATGATCCATGCGTTCTGCGTGTAAAGCATGGTATGTTTTTTATACTTTATTTGGTAATTGTTAGTTGTTCAATTAGTATTAAATAATAAGAATCTTTAAAAACAAAACCAAGGGCAACAATTCAATGGGCTCAGTATACTTCCAAAAATTAACATAACCTAATAATTAAACCCAATGGGTTGGAATGACACGTGTGACATTGCATCCACCAAACATGCATGGACAAAATGTAAAATAAAGGGACAAACTTTTAAGCAGTAATTTTAGTTGTTATTAAGGATTCAAGGGAGAAAATTTTCAAATAAAAAATAAATTTTAAAGTTTTTGGGGTATTAAGTAATACAATTTTTATTTAATATTTTAATTTTGATTTTTTAACAAACGCTAAAGTTAAAACACCCATTAACAAGACTTAAAATTAAAGCTCAGTGCTCACAAATAGAGCCTAAGATATTCAATAACAATCATAAACATAACCAGATTAATATAAAAGTTCTTTCACTGTCATGTGATATTTTCTAATTAAACTTTTTCTGTTATATTGTTACACAGTTTTTTCTCATGTCCCTTGTTTTAAATTTTTATTATTATATTTATCTTTTATTAATTATTTATTTACTTTATTTTAGTTAAATTATAAATTTTGGGGGATGTATTAGTTTAGGATTTTATAAGATTTTAAAAGACTTTTTTTAAGAAAAAAATTATTTTTAGTATATAATCAGGATTTTATTTCACTTAAAAACAATATAAGTGGTATTCAATATGATTTTTTAAGATTTTTTAAAGAATCGATTAAAATCAATTAGTATTCATTTGAGACTTTTTACAACTTAAAAATAATTTATTAGTATTAAAAAAATATAAGAATTTTAAAGGATGTATTAGAGGGATCTTGAAGAACTTGTTAGTGGTATTTATAAATACCAAATTCATAAAATAATCTCATCCAAATCTATCAGATTTTGTAGAATTGTTTGAAGTGACTTTTCAAGTGTTTCAAAAATTTTCAAATGAATTTTTCATCTATTTTTTTCTATGCTCCTGTCTTTTCCATTTTGTTTTCTGTTAATAATACTGCACTCCTGCTTATATATAATATCATATTATTATTCCTATTTCATTCTCCTATTTTGTGAAAATGTAAATGATAGTATCATTAACTTACTCTATTTTGTTCTATTTAGTTGAGTTTGTTTTTCATATATATAATATAGAAAACGCTTGAAATTTTAATTTTTAAGTAGTAATTTTTTGATAACACGTGTCAATAAAAGAGAAAGAAAAAAGTTAAAATTGTTGATTTTGATATAATAATCTCTACAATCAACTGTAGATCTTCAAATAGTTAACTAACACCTTTAACTGTTAAATTTGAGATATTTATCTATATTATATAGCATCTTTTTAATTGAATAAATGGATGTTTAAATATCTAAAATATAGAAATAATAATGTATACTATATATATATATATATATATATATAGAGAGAGAGAGAG